GACAATTCATATCAATGCCACCAAAATTACGTTGCAGAAGAGTTTTAGGCTTGTCTTTGGGAGGTCGAATTTTATAAGAGAGATATATTAAATCGTGATATGAAAATGCATCAGCAGTGAATTGACCATGTTTGGTCACATGGTCAAGGGAGGAAACGATAATTAAATCGAGAAGCGATGGAGCACAATTTGGAAAGAAGTGTGTAGCATTTAAAGGAAGTATATGCATATTGCAAGCATTAACGAGGGACTTTAAACTATTAGAACGGAAATCGTCTTTTAGAAGGCATGTATTAAAGTCACCCATAATGATAGAATGGCTGTAGGAAGGAATGAGATCTTCTAAAAGTTTCTCGAAAGAAGAAAAATAATTTACTCTTAAAGATGGACTGTAGAAAACGCCCAGCAGAATTTTGGTGTGAGAAAGAGTAATCTCTAGAAAAAGGTGTTCTGCAGTATCTGGCGGAGGGGGTTGAGGAGATCTGCTGATAACAGTAAAAGGAATATGGTTTCGTAAATAAATGGCCACGCCCCCATGGGAAGTATTAGTACGATCGTTGCGAATGAGTTGAAAACCAGGAAGTGAGTAAGCTGTAGAGGGAAGAGAAGGATGAAGAAATGATTCCGAAACAAGTACGGCATGAATATTTTTATCAGAAAAAGTTACTAGAAAATCGGGATAGTGAGCAGGAATACTCTGTGCGTTAATATGTGCTATATTAAAATTTTAGTGTTATCAACAATAATAATGAATACTTATTGAGTTCTTCTGATGGTGCATTCGAAAGAAAATCTATGATTAATGCTAGTAGTTTTTTAAACCGGTGTCATCTTTAGACAAATAAACACTGTCGACTGAAAACGTAAAGCAAGTAGCGTGGATATGTAATGTATTGGCAGCTGAATGAGACTCGGGTGTTGCTACTCAACCATCATAGTTATTTTAATGTTTATGTTACGTCGACGGACAGCGTGCCAACTTTATTTTCCGTTTAATTGAAACACGAGGCATTTCACCGAATTCGTCATCATTGTGTTCGTGAGATTCCTTTTACGAGTCTTATTTTGTTGTTGTGCCGGTTTATATGTTTTTGAATGATTGTTGACAGAATCAAAGCAGTATTCTGGTCCGTTTATGGATTAAGCTAACACTGGCTCATTTGTAACCGTCTCTCGTAACAAGTTGCACTGTCAACGAACCGGATACTTATTCTGTGGTGACATATGAAACAAAAGTTTACATTTTACTTCTGTTGTTTTGTAGTATGAAAAGTTTGGTCGCTGAAATATGTCACACTTGAAGGTCCTTTTGGTTTGATTGTGGGCCGGCTGGCACGTGCGAAAGTCCGTTGTGTAAGAGTAGTAGGCCTTCACGCTGGAGAGAAATGGTTTGCCGTTTCTTAAACGCCTTGCAGTCATCACGCTATTGTTCGGTACGACCTATTTAAATTCTAATTTTGCGAGGCTTACGAGCTTATGTCATGTATACCGGCCCAGTTGTGTTATTGAAATAAATTACTCGCTTTCATTAACAGCCGTTCGCAGCAGGCCAGGCGCCTACGTCATCGCCAATAACTTAATTTTGTTTATATAAATCTGTCGTGTAATGGAAATTTGATCATGCTCATGGTTATTATGAAGTAACATAGGTTATAAAAATTAAGAATTAAATGAAAATTACTAAGCTATGAGTCCGTTTCACATAGCATGGGTACGTTGACGTTTGTTAGCTAATTTATTTCACGCAATTGTTGCATATTAAAACAAATAAAATTTTAATAGCCATAATTACTGAAATCTTACCCTTTAAAGTTTAAGACATCAATACTTGTACCGGAAATTGGAACATTTTTTTTAATAGGAATTGAATTAATAAAATCATTTTAATCGAAACATGTATCAGGTAATCATTTGACATTTTTTTATTATCGTAGTCGTAAGAATTAAATGTAACTATAATAAAACATGTTTTTTTCTGACTCGGATTCATTTAGTTGATGAATAAATATTTTTCTTGAATTCTGTTTCATACATTGACCTTAAATCGATTATCTCTATTAGAAACGAACTGAGTAATATCGAGTTTTAGTATGTATATTTTTCATTACAACATTACTAAATGTTTCACATCTTAAACGTCATGGTACCCATGCTATGTGAAAAATAGTATAGATTGTCTTTTGACTGATTTCTATCGATTCACTGCTAATGCTTAATTTGTACATTGCACAATTATATCAACAACATTGTTCAGCTTTTGTCGACATAAGGTAACTGGTGACAGTTATAATACATTGCGCTTGATTGCAGTTTCCTTATTTGTATAGGAGTTTGTTATGACTGGATGCCCAGGTGTTCATGTCTTTGCCAATATCATTGCTAATTTCTGAGAAGAGTGGTTACGCGTTTCGCTCACGGCACCTCACAGGGTGTGAGTAAATAAAACGGTTGTGTACAAACACGACGCGCGGGCGCAAGATGCGCATTTATACATAAGGATGATATTACATCACATGCTCAAACGCGGTCGTGTTGTTGTATGTGCACCATGCTATTACTATGTGCAGCTTGATGTTTAGATAGCTAATGATTGACCAATGGAAATAAGGCGCAGAAATCTCCCCCGCTCTGCATGCAGATCTTATCCATTAATAAAAACAATTCATTATAATATACCTGCTTACTAAAATTAGGTACATTTGCCTACCTGAATTTTAATTGCAGTCTTAATTTAATATCTCTAGAATTTGTTGAAAACACCTAATTTGACTTTGACTGATAGTCTAAAAATGGACAATGTTTGTAAAATAATGACCATTTATTGTCGAAACCAATTTGGTTTGAATTATATTGATAAGTCCGTTTAGATTATATTGGTAATTTTAAGGGCTTATTAGTTACAACGTAGTTTAAACAAGAAAGTAAATAACGTGTTTCAGAAAAGAAAATTTGTTTAAAAGAAACGTCGCTGTCCGCTCTCGCAATCAACTAAAGCTTATCACGTTAACCGAGGCGTTACTGTATGTTGTTATGCAACACGATGACGCACTACACTCCCCTCCTACACTCAAGTAATTGAACACTGACCATCCCCTCATAAGCAACATTTTCCATTCTATATACATGATTTTAGCCAACTTAGCAAATCGCAGCATAAGTTCGTAACGTAATTACCAATTTGAAATAATTAATATAAGTAGAAATATTTTTTTAAGGGTAACTTAAGATATTTTTAAACATTAACTTTGGATAACTTTACATAGATACCAACTAAACTAAGTACTTAAATATACAATATTTTCGTCGTCAGAATGTTTGGAATCACATAATACTTAAATACGCTTATTAGGTATCTAGATGTTTTTATGGTGTACTGTTTTTAGTAAAGTATTTGATAGGTTAGGTGCGTTAAGATTTTTTTTATTATAGGTATTAAATATACTACATTGATAATTTTAATATTTTTAATAAATTATACATGTTTTTTTTCTACGAATCTATATTTATTCCTTGCTAGTATCCCACAGGGCTCACATTTGAGCTCAACTGTTATTATTGGAATAGTTTTTATGGATTTAACGGCTTTTATATGTGCCAATAATTTCAAACTGATATAAAATTTAGATAGCTGTAAATTCTATTGATTTAATTATGTATTGTATATGTAATGCTAATTAAAATGAAAATAATTTGAAAATTGATTTGATTGAGCAACAAAGTATTAAGATTAGAAAATTAATTTTTTAAAGTCAGAAAAATATGAATTAGTAAGATTTTTTTGTTATTAAGTTTGACTTGTATTTTCATCAACCGCGAATCTGATGTCTATTATAATGTTACGTCACTTCACGTAAATAACGTGAGGTTCTTTTGTAAACAGTTTTTCTGATTAAGTAGCAAAAGAGATTAGCATTTATTGAACCTTGTTAGAAAATAATCGAGACACATTGAAATAATAGAAAACGTCACATACATTGCTCAGTTTCCAAGATGAGTAGTTGAAGCCTCTGTTATGGAAATAACCGAAGACAACGGTGTGTGAAACACTCAGTTCTATATATAAAAAATCAACAATTTGTAAAAAACCTTGCGCGTTAAATCATAAAGGTAGTCCTAGTTATATTGTTTTCTATTTTTAACAAGCACAGTTGACATGCCAATTTAAATGAATGAACAAAAAATACAATAATAGCAGGTCGTGCATATACAGTGTTGGAGGTCTAACATTACAAACCAGCTGCATATAAAGGTTAACACGTAAAAGGAAGTACTTAATGAATTAGACGATAAGCATATGAGCAGGTGCCGAATACTGCGTGGTAGCAGCAAGTGCCACCGCCACGCATCAGCTGATAGCCAAGTTCATTACCGCTCCGCGCAAATTGATCCGACTCGGTACTGCCCGCCCACTTTCGAATGAAACACTTTCTTATCTTTCCGTCTGAGATTATTCGATTTACATTGACTGAGTAAGCATGAACCTTTGCTCTTTCAAGTTTATGCCCCATAAAACTTCCAGTATTTCCTACTCGCTCTTCAATTACGAATATGCACTTGATGCTTATTTATTTTCACTCGCTTAAAGTTTTTTCAGATAACTTTAAGAGGTGTACAGATTTGAATGTGATATTTTTTTTATCTAGAGAACGATTATGCTCTTATTTTTGTAACTGCGTGCAACCGATAATGTAAGCGACGATTACTCACTAATGTTTATTTATCGACCTCATATGACTTGTATCGTACAGTAGAAGTCTGACATTAATCTCTTTTATTATTTTAATTGAGGCATATTATTTATAGATAAGTGATTAAGTTTTTGGAATTTTCTTTTAAAAACTGTATTGGATATTTTTAAATTCCCTCGTCAAAACTCCTCATTAGGAATTTCAAATGGCTGCAATTTCGCAATAAATTCTGTTTATCTTCATAATTTGTCGGGTTATTGAGGAAAACAGCAGTTTTCTTTGGAAACTATAAATTCATTTATTTATTTTCAGTCACATAACAAAGACAACGACGTGGGATGATCCCCGCAAGACTTTAGCAGCGCAAGCAGTAGCGGGGGGTGTTCAACACCAAAGTGCAGAAACACTCCTAACACAGACCGCCAGCGCACAGACCATCACTCCCGCTGCCACTCCAGGTACGTCAGAAACACCTTAATTAAGTGATCTAAAAGTCAAAGTAAAAAATGACTTTATTCCAAAAGTAGCTAATAGGAAACCTTACGCTTTAATAATATCAACGTTTTTCCTAATACCCATTCCGGAATTTCATATATACGTTCTGCCTACCCCGCACGATCCGGCGTGAAGATGAATGTATATGGCTAAGTGATTTAGAAAGAATATCGTTCGGAGTTTCATTTTGGCAAATCATCCTCATGTTTTCTTTTTTTGCCTTCTTGATATATATCTTTCTCTACATCGTCTTCTGCTTTTTCTCTCTACGTGACTCCAGCATGTTGATATAGTATTACTAGACAATCGTAGGTTGCTTGCACTGGACAAATACATATATCAGGTCCCTATTTGGAATATAAAAGTTTCCCTATTCCGTAAAATTCAAACCTATATTCGAATTCATTCAGTTTTCCGTAGTTACTTCCGAAGCGAATCCGCTTAACTTATATTAGTGTAGAAATTCTATTGATTCCATTTTTTGTATAAAAATGAAAAACAGCATAGATTAATTCATACGCGTCTCCGATATTCTATCCTTATGTCATTTAGAAACTTAATTAAAGGTTAATGTCGGTTATATTATAATTAAAAGTTATTGAATTCTGACACCTGAGTGAATTCGAATTCGAGTTCGTATTTTTACGAAATTGCTCTGTCGCTAATATTATTTTACCTACAATAACAAAGCGGTGAAAACAGAACGCGCAGCGAATTTACTGCGTATTGATTTTCTGGTGGCGTTGTTATTCGCATTTACTTGAAATTTAATAAAGTGTGTTTTGATAGTCTTGTAGGTAGTAGTATTTCCCAGAATTTACAGATTGATACATTCGGATATAGTATTATTAAGTTACTAACTGAACTGATAAAATTGCCTGGTACGCATTGCTCAATAAGGTCGCTTTTTGCATGTGTATTGCTCATACTATGTATTTTATGTCTTTTCTATGTATTTTGTGTATTTGATCACATTCAGTGCACTAAATTTATAATGAATGAGTACATCATCCATTCATAATTTTCATAATTTAAATGACAAAGTAAAAACAGTGTTAGTGTTTTCTAAATATCGTTAGTTACTTAAAAAATATATAGTTAGTAACTATATAATTCTATTTTAATTTATTACAGTAACTATGTTACTAATAATAATACAATATGTTGACACAAAAGCATTGCCAAATCTAATTTTTTATCCGTTCCCTACTAATGCACTCTCTAACATTTCTATAAAATGTTTAAATAACAAAGAATTAAAGTGCTGAATAAACAAACAAGCCAAATAGATAATAGAGAAAATAGAGAGGCGTTATACAGATGTTATTCCCTTCTAACCGTGTTCACGTGATCTAATTGGCCACAGAGGCCGGCCGGTTTAAAATTATCATGGAACTGAAATAAAAACAAGTAAATAACCCGAATTCTAAAACTGATTTTATGACGGGAATTAACGCGTTGTTTCCGTCGGTCGATGTGAGACAAGCGTTGAAAGGTGTACGGAAAATACATCGCCGGCGCCGGCGGCCGGCCATCAGCCGCGTGTCCCAGCAGACCGACTGAGTGACCGCCCAACTCCTCTAGCTATAACTCTAGTCATAAGATACGATTTTGAAACCCCATTTCTTTTCAATTTACTACTTTAACCTTTACTTTTATAAGGAAGAATGAATGATAAATAAAAGAATTGACGACCTCTGTAGCCGAGTGGTTCGCACGCCGGTTTCAAGGAGTCTTCATCTCTGATATCCGGGTTCGTTTCCCGATCGGGTCAATGTAGAAAATGAACTTTTTTATATTGTCTCGGGTCTGGGTGTTGGGTTACCTTCGTTGTCTCAAATACTCCATAATACGGGGGCTATAGCTACTCATCTTGGAATCTGAGCAGTGTGTGTGATGTTGTTTAATATGTTATAAAGAATGTTGAATATAGATTTGACAGCAGTGTTTTCAACTGAATGAATTTTCCATAATTTATCCACCAAAAGACACGTCAAAGTAGTAATATGAAATAGCGCTACAACATCGCTAAGATGTCATATACTATGGCTACATAGTTAGGCGGTCGCACTCCTAGTTACCGGTCAGCAGTGATATTCTGTTTTAAAATCAGCGTTGTATTTGATATTGACCACATCATTGCCACAGAATAGAGGCTCAATCAAATAAAACGTACACCAACTGTGTATTTCTTACAGAATAGTACACTCATAACAGCAAAGCCCTATTATTTCTAAAGATTGTAAATAATGATGAAAAGACAAAAATGCCTTATTACGTGATATAGAGCGTCAAAAACTATTTTGATAGTAAAGATTCATCAATTAGTGGTGTTCTTTACATAATGAGGAATAATATCCTTTATATTGATGCATGAAATACACATTTGTTCAAAGATAAAAAGTGCAAGAATACGGAAGTTTGGATAACGGATACGCTAATGACATTTATCAAAATATCTAGATTTATATAAAACTAGCTGTTCCCTCGCTACTTCGCCCGCGTAAATTAAAGCCAGATGTCATCTGCATTTAATGCTTCCCATAGATGAAAAATTATTAAATTTTTCCTCTTTGTAATAATATTAGTATAGATAATACTTTTGATTTGACTTAAAAGGCGGCGCGTCCCGTTTTAAGTGTTGGCTATTACACTGCGGAAGGTATCCCTTTACGTGAATATTGTAACTCCCTAATTTGTCACGTAATAACAACAACATTATAAGCAGCTGAATCGACGATTCCTAGTCACGTGTTCACATCAGTCAGTGTATTGTTAGTAGATACAGATTACCTAATACGTGCTCTTGTCACGTTCTTAATAGAGGTGTTGTTTCTGTGAAGTTGGAAAAGATATTTCATCCTTTCTTATCTTAGCTCCTGAAACAATCTATGTAGATCAGGTGACAAAACAAACGAATTGTGTTTTCGTAACACATTCTTCCGTAATCTAACAGCTCTTGTTATGTTATCATACGAGGTGAAATTGCTTTCTGGTTACGCATAGTTTTAACTTGACAATAATTGCAATTTGTTCAAAATTGTTTTCGTGAATATACGAGGGTCAAACTGAAAGTTCTTAGAACTGGCCACTTATGAACAATATAATAAAAAAATAATTCTAAAATTTGAAAATATAAACTCTTTGCCAATATTACTGAGTATATATTTCATTCATTTGTCATTTGTTTTACGATTTGGCGGCAAATTGAAAATTGTCTGTGTCACGTCATCATGAATTTAACACGAGAAAATTTTCGTGCAATGATTTTTTATGACTTTCGATGTCATTTAAGTCAACAAGAAAGTTATGATAGACTACGATTGGCCTTTCACGATGAAGCCCCATCTCGTGCGACTGTTTACAACTGGTTTAATGAGTTTAAACGTGGTCGTACTAATCTCACTGATGATTTACGTGAGGGACGGCCTTCTACGGCGACGACTGAAGATAACATCTGTGTTGTGCGGCGTATGATAGAGACTGACAAAAGAGTGACCTATCAACAGATTCGGACAAGCTTAGGCATCGGTATGAGTCAAGTGCACAAAATCCTCCACGAACATTTAGCGGTCAGGAAGCTTTGCGCCCGGTGGATACCTCATAATTTGACTGAGGCTCAAAAACTCCATCGTGTGGATTGGTGTCGTAAAATGATTGAAAGATTTAACGGAGGTGACTCAAATGCTGTGTTCGACATACTAACAGGTGACGAAAGCTGGATTTACTGTTATGATCCTAAAACCAAAAGACAATCTGCTCAGTGGGTGTTTCCTTTCGAGGAGTTGCCAACTAAAGTGAAGAGAGATCGAAGTGCGGGAAAAAAAATGGTGGCCTCGTTCTTTGGAAGGATAGGTCATTTTGCAACAATTGTGTTAGAGGATCAAAAAACAGTTTCTGCAGAATGGTACACTACCAATTGTTTGCCACTTGTCTTGGAAAAAGTTCGAGAGAAACGACCTCGCAGTAGGATCCTCCTCACCACGACAACGCCTCGTCGCACACCGCCAAGCGAACGATCGACTATTTGGCGACATCAAACGTTGAATTACTGGGTCACCCGCCGTATAGCCCCGACCTCGCGCCTTGTGATTTTTATTTATTTCCAAAAATTAAAGAAAAACTTAAAGGAAAGCGGTTTATGAATGCTGAAGAAGCGGTGGCTGCGTATCGCGATGCCATTGAAGAGACCCCTAAGGACGAGTGGGCAAAGTGCTTTTCCCAGTGGTTCCATCGCATGCAGCGGTGTATTGACGTGAATGGACAATATTTTGAAAAGATATAATAAAACTAATAACTGGCTAATGTAATCAGTTTTTGATTTTCTAAGAACTTTCAGTTTGACCCTCGTATATATAAAAAAGCTGACCCAAAATTGCCCCAAGTCGTTTCATGTTTGTATCTGAAAAATATGCAAGAGACTTAAACTAAAATGACAAAACATAGACATAAGTTACACTTGTAACGCAAAATGTAGAAACATCCCATCTAGTGGTGTTCCAGATTACAATTCATAAAGGTACACAAATCAGTTTGCGCAAAGAAACAATGCTCAGAGCAGATTTATGTTTACAAAATGAAAAAGACGCGAGTTTCTTATTATTAAGCACAATGAAAAAAAAAAACATAGTGATGATTTACACTTTTGACGCTGAAAATATAAACTTCAGAAAATTCAATTTGATTGGGATGCATAGACTTTTTCACCTGTGGTTCATCTCCTTTCATTCATTAATGTGTTCTTTGTCGTCCTGTTGAAGTAAAATGCAATTACAAAGAGGGATTATATATATTTTTTAAGATGTTCAAACAGTTTTTTATATTTTTCGTCCCTTATCATATAAAGTCATGTCCGTTCTTATGGGGTCTAATAAATTAACAAGTTTATTTATACCCTCTTTGCTTTGCTTGTATTTGGAGCATTTTGTAGCTTACTGTGTATATATATTTTCCGTTTGCAAAGCCGTTTTTAAAACTAGTTCGCATTGAAAAAACTATTAGAATAATATCATAAAAGCAATAACCTAAATCGCCTTTTGATTAACTGTAAATGGTAATTAATAATGCATGTCGTTTTATAGAAAGTTGTTACATAGATTTTCAATAGACTAACTACTTAGTCAATTTATTTGTAATATCGATTTAAATGAGCTTGTCTTTGGACACTTATGACTGACCCAGCAATTGGTTAATAGCCAATAGAATGGTTAATAGAATGGCGATGCTTGCTACATCCTTAATATATTTTTGATAACAAGTATACAAATGTCGAAGTATTGAATAGATATCTAGAAGTGCTTAATGTTTTAAATGCTTTATGCGTTTAACTTTACTGTATAACAAGAGATACTCGAGAACCAAATGATGCTTTCAAAATATTTTTAATGATGAACAGAAATATATAAAGAAAAAAATTGCCATGCCGAGGATTGCTTCACCTACAAAAACATTCAAGTCTGTCTACCAATTGAAGATGTCTTTTTGACGTTAAATGGCAATAATTATAAATATCTACATTTTGCCTTTTTATTTATTAATATTTAGCAATCTTTCATTTTTAAACTTTTACTTAAGATCACCATATTAAAACCTTTAATGATATTCAAATATTTCGAGCAATAATCTTTTATTGGAATCTTTCAAAATCTCAAATGTTTCGTTCAGAGAATAAAATATGTTTCGGTATATTCGCAACGTATTTTCCATTATATAATCATTTTCCGTTTTAACATTTCTATTATGAATTTCATGGTTCTAATTTCAATATAAATACAAAAATAATCGATTTTGTTTCACTGATGCTAGTATACAGTGATGCTATATTTTTCGTGTAAAGTTTTTTATTTGTTTCTATAATACGACAGCAAATGTGCGTCTGAGTTGCAACAAGAACTAATTTTCCTCTGTATTTTATTTCACTTTTAATACAGTCAACAGCACGCCCGGTAACAGAAATTTGTTTTCTTTCACTTAATTTGTACTTTAATTTGTTAGGTGTAGAGTTCAAAACAGATTGCAAAAAAAAACATATTTTGATATCCTAGCGTACTGCTATGTGTGCATTTGAATAAGAAAATCGAATAAATTCCTTATAAGTCATGTCTAATCTGCATAAGCTATATTAAAGTAGGTAGTTAAACTTTTTTCTTTAAAGGCAATCTCACAATTTCATTGTTTATATACATACTGTCTTCTTCTTGATTTTCGTTATTTTGGTTTTGGCGATATGAGTTCATATAAATTAATTTACAGGTTTTTCATAGTTCTCAAATACAAGATTTTCACTAAAGAAAATTTTACCTCTTCTAGTGCCCAATTAAAATATGCACCCTCTTAAAATATATATTATTTTGAAGCAATATTATAGACAATACAGATAAATTATCATTTTGTCAAAGGGTTTACGGTCAATAATTATAATACTTAGTACGTAGTTTTAAATATCAATCAATTGGACTGTGACATTCGCGATTGAGAAGATGAGTTATCCGGCCGACATCCGCTGTCGTGATTCATGCCGAGGCCCGGTGCGTGCGCCAGCGCAAGACTGGCGCCGCCATCGGCCACTGGTTTCTTGGAACAAATTCACTTTGACCTTGTCGGTCTTCACCTGATTTTATATCATATTTTTGTACTCACAATATCGATTATTTTAAATATCTGTAGCAAAAAGATTGAATAATTATACGTTACATAAAAATCTCGTTTTAATGTCATTTTCTTTAAGAATATTTGTTAAATGTCAATTAAAATATAATAATATTTACCAAGCATTTTTTTTTCTTGATTACAGCAGCGAAGACGACTAGTAGTAATACGACAACAGATCCACTAGGGCCGCTACCAGAAGGTTGGGAGCAGGCGACGACACCAGAAGGTGAAACCTATTTTATAAACCATGCCGCCCGAACAACGTCTTGGTTCGACCCTAGAATACGTAAGTTGGGCTTCAATATTTCAAGACGTTGATATTTATGTAAGAGGGTTTTTTTTTTAACTCAATCAATTCTTTTTGTTTTTAGCGCAACATTTACAACGCACACCAGCAGCGAATGCGGGCTTAGCCGGTGGTGGATGGGCCAATGCTCAACTCCAAGCTTGCCAACAAAAGATACGATTGCAGTCATTACAACTAGAAAGAGACCGCTTGAAGCAACGCCAGCAGGAGATAAGACTCCAGGTAAAAGAAACTATACTGTCCTTGTCAGGCGACCTCGCTAGTTTTCTAGTCGAAGGAAGAATCCCTTTCGGTCGAACCTTGCGAACGTTTGGCTAGACGCCAGCCGGTTAGGTCAGTGGGACACGAGATCTCCCAAAAACATATCAATCGACGGGTCGTAAAGTAGTTTTAATGTGTTTTCAGCAAGAGCTGATGGCGCGGCAGTCCTCTTCTATAATGTCGTCGTTGGCAAGCAGCACGGGTGCTGTGGCCAGTACAGAGTTGTCGCTCGATCCATTCCTATCGGGGCTGACTGAACACCAACGACAAGAGTCAGCTGACAGTGGACTGGGCATGGCGGTGCCTCGCGTGGGGGACGGAGATAGCCTATTCTCGATCCCTCACACTCCTGAAGACTTCCTAGCGGGCATGGACGACCGCATGGACTGTAGCAGCGAGGCCGGTGCTAATATTGACTCCACTGACATGGCCATAGGAGACAGCATCGACCCTACTGACGACTTGGTACCTTCTTTACAGGTAACTTTGCTTAACGCTTTATAGCTCGGATATTACGAATAATAATAACAGGTACAACGCTTTCTAATGTTTCCGCATAACCGGCCTATATATAATTTAGTTTACTAATATTTGTTCAAATTGGTAATTTTAATGATTTTATAATTAAACATTTAACTTATATAGAACCACTTAATGATATATGTAATGAATGTAAAGGGAAATAATAATGTCTAAAACATTCTACCTAGTGTGTTATTTTCCTTTACGATTCTTCATTAATATCTGACTATTAAGAGTGATTCATTTTTCTATATTAATGGAAAAAATCACAATGAATCGAATCAATAAGGACATTACATAGGTTACTATTTTCCTGTTTCTATATATGATCTTATTCGATTTAATTAAATAACCACTCTTGAAATTCAGAACTATAACACATAAATATATGGTATTTTGCAGACCTTATTATTATAATTTTAAGACTGTATGGCTTGAGATTCGATGTAAAGATGTTAGATGAAAAATTCTTATATATTTTTTCAATCCATTCAACACAGAAGATAATATGAAATTTATGTATATTAATATATTTATTAGATTCTGTACTAAATAGATACCGTTTACTAAGAGATAGAATGTTTACCAAAAATAATAAGATAACTCTTAGTGCTTAATTACATTAATAGATTCATAATAAAAAGATATTTTTCAGAATATAGAATTCAATACGCTCTACCTCTCTACCTTTATAGGTATCTAGGTGTACTCTTGCGGGATAGGTAACTACGATAAAATCTCTTCCTAAAAAAAAATATCTAACGTTTTTAGCAACAGCATATGCATAAAATAAACCAGAATCTGGTATCAGGATCTGGTATGATGTTTTTAAGTAGGTTGTTAAAGTTTTTTGGAAAAACCTAGGATTAAGGGAAAAGCGTTATCAATTTTATATGCATAAAAAGATTTGATGAAACTTTTCTAGTACGTGGTGTATTTAACTAACTTGCTTATATTTAACCGATGTATAGTTGTTCACTGTTCAAGGTCCTGCATGTGTTTTCCATAAAATGTAAATGTAGTCAATAGCATGTCAGACTACAAAATTGACAAATTTCCCCATTCGATTTTAATGCTTAACACACTGTCCCAGTGTGTGTGAATTAGTCCCAGTGCCGCAAGGATTGTCGTTTAGTTAGTATAGAAATAATTCTTGCAATTATAAATATCGCCACAAAGACTAAACTCCCGTGGCATCTTACAGTCTCAGACTAGTTTATATTTTTCATAAATCCCGTACTCCCACTTCTATTACAACAAGCTGCAATTCTAATGCAATAAGGTTATCCATATTTCTACGTAACGCGTTACTAGTCTGTTAAGCAACAGTGTATGTGGACTGTGGACGTCGTATTTACAAAAAAACTATTGTCTAACCTCTTTTAGGGGTTTGACTCGGTTTCTGACTCTGACATTACAACCATCCATTTAGGTTAGTGGGACTTTTTGGTTTCCTTTTGCTTGCGAGGTCCCGAGACAGGCAAGATCATATAAAAGTCTGGATCCACTTTTCAACGCCAATCTACTAAACAAATTCATATCTCCAATGTGGAGGATTGGAAATACCTATTTAGGCGCTCCCATAAGACCTTTTAGTAGATCTCTCCTACTGGCTTCACTCTCGTTGAATATAGGTATACTTCTAGCATTAGCTGTAACATTATTAAGAGGTTATTCTCTTTCCTTTACAGTTGAACGAGTTCACAAACGATATTCTACTGGACGACGTGCAGTCTCTTATAAATTCGACACCGAGCAAACCAGACAACGTGTTGACCTGGCTGTAGGGAGTGCCCTAGCGTGCGTGCTCAATACTTACATACAAACTCTAAAATTAGTTATTATGTTATATAGCGTACTTACCGCATCGAACGAAAACAACGCTGTTAGTGACATAACGGTAAAACATGATGTATATTTTACTAAGAAAAAAAAAAACTGGTGCAACGTGTGTCTGCTGGACATATAGAGATATTAATTCGGCTCTTGTTCACGAAGTCTATTTTTGTTATACAGAATTCTGAGTTTTTATTATCTCTGCATTTATCCAAATGAGATAGAAAAGCAATTCTGCATAATAAATGGTCGACAATTCTCTATATTTTTGAAATGTGTTGAGTCTGTCTGTTAACATTTTGTAAACTAATCGTGCATGCTATATGATGTATAGGTATATTTTTAGTTTTGTAAGGGCATCGATTTGAATACTGCGTTTAAAATCTTCGGTTTTGAGATGCATTGTAAAGCGCGCAATACGTAAGTGTAAGAAGTGAGTGTTGCGCTAACGCAGAGTTCGCGGGCTCAGCCACGCGGGGCTGTGTCACGTGAGTTATGCGGCAGTCGTTAGTCACTATTAGATGCAGGACCACTATTTTTGAATCATTCTTTTTTTATTCGACATATGAATTTTCAATTTTGTTTCCCTCGACTAACGGTCAACCACTTAAACTGCAACTTTTAAAAATATAGTATAGGCTTGCACCGTGTTACCGTCAATAAGAGTAACGATTGATAAGAGACAAAAAATTGGACATAATCGAATTGCTTGAAACAAAACTTCTTTTACTGTTTTTCTTATAGTATAAAAAATACTTTCCGTATTTTTTCAATTTATCGATTTTTACAACGGGAAATGTAAAACATTTTCCGCTATGAGACATATATAAATACTTATAAAAATATTTTTTCTTTACCTTATAATTTTCACACTTGCTGCCAGCATTCTTTTAGTAATGAGTGTCCATAACTTTCAATCGAGTAAATAGGTTTTGATAGGGTTAACAAAAATTTTAAGGAGAATGATTCAAAAATAGAGATGACGGTCGGTTGGTTTTGCCCCACGGTTTCTGTTTTCAACCCTTCTTTCCTTGCCGAAAGAAGTTGTGTTGAAACAACTAATCGCTCGATTTAGGTTTCCCATATTCTTTGCTCTTGAGACTGTCGGAAATCCTTTCGTTATGTAATTAGATGTATATTCGCTGATACGACTGTGTGACTAAACAAAAACATACAATAACGGAGCGCCAATAAGTATTACGTGTTGTAGTACTGTCCTACATGTTTAGCCACGTTATTTGTGTGTGTGTATTTTAAATAAATAATTGTATTATCGGTAAACTTAAGATTGTGATAACATCTTAACATAACAGTGCCTTATTGTGCCTTTAAAGAATATTTATTGTGTTTTGTAACTTAGATGAATGTTAAAATATTTCTACACTTCTATTGTCAAAGTTTTTATGTATTAAATTTGATACGATTTTATAATCTACTTATTATACTTGTTTGTCGACTTACACCGTCCTATGTATTTTTGGAGATTATTAATAGATGTTAAGTTTTATCGTTACTCGTGAACTAGATAATTATGTTGGCAACTATAATTGTAGTTAAGTACTGTATTGATGATCGTCTGTAGCGAGCGAGTTTTATTTTTGCTTGTGTGATTGCGGCCGGCTTACGCGTAGTATAGACAATAATTCGCCCAGAGTGTAAGCGGCGTGTTGACTGTATGTGATTGCTTTAAAGAGTCAATCCAGATTAGAAAAATATGATGAATTATTATTAAAATGTATAGTAGCTTTGTATCAGATGTGTCGTAGCCATGAAACGGTGCGGCTGCGAGTAAACCTGTGCAATAATGGGTTCCACGTCAGTTTGGTGCCAACTTTAGATAGCTGTCAAATGTATTTACTCCAAGGTATTTGCGACACTCATAGTGTAATGAGTAACATATCACAACTTATCAAAACATCAGATCTTCTCAAAATTATGATTTAGCCCACCTAGTCTTTAGATTTTTTATTGAGTGATGATATCAAATAGCTTGATTGATTTAAAAATATTGAAATTAGACCTTATGAAAATGCTACATAGAAAACTTTGCCATATTAGTAAAATACTTATTCTTATAAGACTTTAATGTAACCTTCAGTAATATAATAGCACATTTAAGTCTGTGTAACTATTGTAATTAAGAGGTAAAGGTGCTGGGTTTATGGTACATTTTATATTGTATTCTGTAGATCCATTTGTTATACTTTATATTGTATTCGTATACCTATTTTTTGTACTCCGTAAGTGGGATGCTTCTCATATTGTTCGGTTCATTATTCTAAAATCGCTTCCCTTTCCTTTTATATTCGTGAAGCTCGGTGGAGCGGAATAAAGCTATTGACATTAATAGTCAGTGGATTTTGGTCAGTGATTACAATTGAATAATTTATATCGTTAATATTTGCCTTATAACATTTTTTATTGTTGCTGTACGATATACTGAGAAACATTCCATGTTGCTTACAGTTTGCCGGGCGGGTCAAACGTCTTGCGACGTCGTTCTCGCCTGCTAACGACAGAATAATATTCTGAACAATATATCAAGTGTAAAATAAATAGTTTATTTCTTAAGGATAGTCTGTATAATTTACAAACATATCTTGTCAGTCTGATAGTAGATGCAAGTTTTCTCTGTAGTGTAAAATGTATGATGTGTATTAATGTAACAATGAAATTCATGAAATGCCGAGAGCAACAATTTTATTATAATTTCATTGTAAATAATTCAATATCATAAATGAATGAAATAAATATTTGTTTTAATACCTTAAATGATTTCACTTTCTTCTAAACACACTCGTTCAAAGTTCGTTACGTAATTTCTGTTGAAAGAAAAGAAATTTAATAATAAGATTATTTATTTTTAGTGTTATTAGATTTTATTAATCTTGCATATCAGCTGAATTATATACAAGGCTAGTGTCATGCCATGCTTCATAGACGCCTCACCTGTAAGCAAAAAATATAAAGCTATATATATATTGCGTTGTTTATGCATCCAGCTACGCTATTGTGTTAAAAAATATCGAACTCGACATCTAGCCACAGATATATCTAGCACAGCACTTCAACAAAATAAAAAAACAATACCTTTTGAAGTAGGTTCTATTTAATCCAACCTCCATGCTATGACACTTCTGTTCTTGACTTCGAGTACTATGTTGATTTTATTAAAGAATAGCGGTGCAGGAAAACAATGTAAGATACTATATGGTTACTACTGTGTTAAGCGTGGTTAGGTTATAATATAGTCTTGGACGTAATAGTTCGCAACTGAGATCGATCTAGTTAGTCCGCGGCGTCTAAATGAACTAATTTGCTCGTTTAGTTCGTGACTTATGTAGATTCCTAGCTTTTCGCTCTTTGCAGCAGGAGCGAACGAGCGAACGATCTGCCTCATATTGAATTATTTTAAGGCAGTTTGTTCGCTCGTTTTGATACTGCTCCTGGTCTTACTAGAATAGTGAATTCTGTAAATTTAAATCAAAATTTTGGGTACAAAAAATAACATAAATAGACATATGAACTATTATTTAAAAAAATATTTTTTTTTACTGTAAATAGACATTGTTGAGTCAGTGAATTATATACTTTATATTTTTAACGAGACGACGTTAGTTCGGTCGACTACACCTTCACTTATCATGTCACGAACTAACGAACTACGGAATGGAAAATGTGGGAACTAGTCCGCGTAGTTCGTCAGTGGGAGCCGGTTCTTCGAATCAGTTCGTTAAATGAAATGAATAATTCGTAGAATGTCCGATTTTGCTTCCGCTTGGCGGCGCTAGTGTAGTTGCGGATCAAACCTCAAAAAAATCGGTACCATAGAAACAGTCTTACAACCAGTTGCACAACCGTCCTTTAAGATTTAATGATGATTTCTAGCTAATGTTCTAAATTTAAAAAATTGTATTGATAATGTCGCTTCAAACTAGAGATGGGATTTTACCCGGAAAAACCCGAAGTTGGGAAAAATCGTTTCATACATTTTAAATAGTAAGATATATATAATTTATAGTTCTTAATACTATAAAAACTTAAAATGTGATATTTCATAACAATACTAATGTGTAAAATTACACATAATATCATAATCTGTATCTTTCGGCGAATTTGAAGTTTGTCTTGCTTTACACACACGTTAGGGGCCCCGTATTATTGATACGTCCGACGAGCTACGCCGCTGCATTTGACATTACCATTAACGTAACTAGCGCCGTCTAGTTATGTTAATTCAGATTAATTGTTGTATGGGTTGGACTGCATCTTTTATTACGGTATCGCCTGTTTATGTCGGCAGAGGCGACTGAAAAGGGCTCGCAATCAGAATCACTATTTGTTAGTGCAAGAACGTTAGTGTATTGCCTATCGCCAATAATTCTAGGGGCTATCGTGGTGGAAATGGCGGTTATGAGTCACAAAAGAATAGGATGCTGGAAAAAATCGTTACAGTTCTATCAATTCCAAGACTATACTTATTTATCGTACCAACGAACTACATAAACTCATGTTATTACCAAAATTGCTAATGTTATTTTACAATAAATAAACAAAAAAATAAAAGGCGTAATTGCGGTATTCAACTTACCGCTGGATCTTTGAATCGGTCGTCTTGCGGTAGCTCACGTGTGGCCAGCAGCTGTCGATAGTATTCTGCTGATAACTTGGGTGTCCTGGGCCTGTCTGACTGTGTAATATCCACGTAATAGAAGCCGAAACGTTCGCTGAAATGTGACGTTTCAAATTTAAATATATCTAATGTCCAGATATACCATATACCATAGTCCACTATACCATAGTCGTATTACGTTAGTTATTTTTGTTTTGTTTAGTTTTAATACCTTAGCGAGGTATTTGGTTTTTTACAACAGACCAACTGATCTCGTTTAAGTATAGACAGAATATCACTATAATAGTTACTAGCAAATAAGTTACAGTTATTTTTACAGGTGATAGTAGGGCTTCCAATCCCGCGTCTTCAATCTCGGTATTTACGGAATATAATATTTTCAATCTCGCGAGATCTCGGTATTTGCAGAATTCCCGCATATAGAAAATATTTATATAATATTATATATACTTATTTATCGTCCCGCCAATCCCGCTTATCCTGCGCATGTATTCCCGTAACACGGGAATGGAAAATAAGATGCGGGATCCCGCAATACCGAAATCTTAGTATTATATAAAGCTAATGTGTTACAAATTTGGCTGTAAAATAGAGAATAATATAATTAATAAATATTACAATAAAATATTCTTACGAGAAGCCTGCTCGCCACTCGAAGTTGTCCATTAGCGTCCATGCTGTATAGCCCAGTACCCTTACATTGTCCTCATAAATTACGTTGAGGATTTCGCTAAGATAATCCTGAGGTATCAAAATACAAAAAAAGAATACAAGTGAAATCTATAGTTAAATAAAAACATTAATTAATATTCGTAATGGAAATTTATGAAGGACTATGTTCATTTTTACGATTTCAGTATATCCTATATAGGTAAACACGACAATGTTTATAAAAAAATGGCTCATGACCCACCACGCAAATTCAATGCGCATTGGGGGGTTTTTACGACTGCAGATGCTACAGACCAAAGGTTTAACGTGCCTCCTTTCACAAGTCACCCTTACGTCATCGAGCTCCTCCAATCCATCCAAGTAATATGAATTAAGTGAAAACTGAAAATTCATATGTGTGTCATACGGATTGACTATATAGATATTTTCTGACTATATAGGAATCAACTAAACTCGTAAGTCAATCACCTAATTTTGTCTTGCACATTGTGCAATATACATACTGCGACTATTTTTCTATTAGAATCATGAAGTTAGTGACTGTTGTTAGAAAAAAGTAAGTCTAAGTGCTTAAGAGTATCCAGTATGTCATACTAACGTTGAAATAACTGATACGTCCGTAGTCTTGTAAAGTACCACGATCAGAGAAGCCATTCTCTGTGATATAAATAGGCGGATCGTTATAAGAGCTCTTACACCAGCGCAGGAAATTGGCGAACCCAGTTGGTACTACCTGTACAGAAAAAAGGACATGTACACGGCATTTAGGTACCTACTCCGTAATTATTTGAACCGCATATTAATTCTAAGCCAATGGCTGGCTGGCTAGACGATTAATCTGGATTAGATATTCAGACAAAGTAGCGGATTTATGACAAAAATAAAATTATCTAAATAATCATGCGATCCATTTCAATCTGGCATCAATCAACACAATGTGCGGTCAATCTGTCAACAATCTGATCAAGATAACTGATTGATCGTTTAATGGTCCGATTACCTCCGTAGCCGAGTGGTTCGCACGCGCATCAAGGTGTCGCTATCTCTGAGGTCCCGGGTTCGATCCCCGGTCGGGTCAATGTAGAAAATGAACTGGGTGTTGTGTTACTTTCGTTGTCCCAGATACTCCATAATACGGGGGCTTTGACTACTCATCTTGGAATCTGAACAATGTATGTGATATTGTGTAATATTTATTACTCGCAAACCATTAAAGTTATTATAAAAGTCCTGCACAATTAGATCAACTAAAAAGTGACTCACATATTTATCAATTTTCCCTATAAAACCTGAAAAGTGGGAGTCGGAGTTGCCCACGAGGGTTCAGGGATTTGTAATATTTGTCGGTTAGAAATAGTTCACGAACTTTATTACATTATGCTTTAAAACGCCTGCATTTTTATGGGTGTAAGCCCAGAAGATAAAACAACGACGAAAATATCTCCACAACAATTATTTAATTTAAAGTTTAGAATAATTACTACTTTAAGATTAATAATACGTATAGTAACTAAACTTACCCTCAGCCATTCTGAAGCTGAATCACCACCAACGTTCATTGTAGTGACGGCTCCGATGTCCTTAAGCCAAGATGGTGATTTAGCTGTAGAATCTACACCGGCCCCAGTTATTAAATGGGTAGTGTAGTGGTTGATGCCCAGGAAATCAGACGTGCCCTTGATCCGCTGGATCCAGTATCCGTCGAATTGTTCCAGTCGGGATTTTGGTAGGCCTTCAGCGGCACTCTGTTGTGCTACGTTCTCAACCATGACAGCAGGGTAACCACCTTCTTCGGTGAAGATTGGGTGTGCAAACCAACCGAACTGTTAAAATATTTATCTTGTTAGATACATTTTGTTCTTAAAAGTTATGTGTTGTTTTATTTAATAATTCCAAAACCTGATATAGAAGGCGAGATTCTAAAAGACATGGAGGCTATAAAAAGTAGGGCTTTTCAATGAGATTTGATAGCATTAATTCAACAAGGCTCACGTGTGGATTGCGGGCGATTTCGGTAGGCGTATTTTGTTAATTGATAAATCAATAATAGCCAATAACTATGAAAATGAGATACAGAAATCGAACGTTTGCCTTTGGTCATATTATTTATGAGAGAGATATATTACTTAAAGGTTAAAGAATTCACCTTGAATTGATTGGCAACTTCTGCCAGTGTCACTTGCTCAGCATCATTAGGGTCGCTAGGCTCATACCAAATGGAGTTGATTGAAATCATAATCCTTCCATTTTGGATAGGTCGGTAGGTATCATTATAAAGATGGTAAGCTTCAGCATGCGCTTTTAGAAGGGTATCGCTGCACAAATAGTTTCCAACGCCGTGACTGTCAATAGCTGGTGCTTTCTTCTCATCACCATATGCATCCTCGCAAATTTCGTATGGTTCGTTAAATGTGATCCAAGATTTGATTTTTCCTCCGAATTCTTTGAAACATAGGTCGGCGTAGTCGCGGAAATAATCTACCATTTTTGGGTTAGCCCATCCTCCTAAATCTTGAAGAGTTTGCGGTAAGTCCCAATGGAAGAGTGTGACCTAAAAATATCGTAGTAGTTTTGCATGAAAACAGATTTAAACTTTACTTACAAATTTCTCTTGTTTAGTATCAGCTTAACAAAAATATTGTATGGCAAATAAAAAAAAAAAAGCTGTAGATGTAGAGCATGTTTATTTCAATGTAACGTTTTAAGTTTCTATCTATCATATTAGTTATATCGATTGTATAATGAAATCCAAATTAATTTGATTTCTTATCTGATTTATCAGTGAATATTAGTAAATTTGGTAAGTTATTTTCCACTAGACATTGACTTTTTCTATCATTGCCATTCACTTCGGAAGCGAAGTGGAGGTGCAAATGTCCTCTACTTACACTAGTATTTAAATTATCTTTGATTACATATATTTTGGAGATGGAATTTAAAGAACTACTTAGCTATGAACAAATAGTAGTGACACTGGGTATGCGGGTAATTGCTAATAATTCTATTGAAATAACTATAGAGGCGAAATGAAAATTTTGATGTTTCGTCATATTTATGACGTTCGTTTGTGATAGATGATCTGCTTTTTAAAGCAATGTTATTTATAATTAGGCTGTGGCATTTAACATTTTTATATTGAAATTATTTATTTCTGTTGTTTATATTTACCAGAGGTTCGATATTTTTCTCAGCCAAGGCATCAAGTAAACTGTGGTAATAGCGGATTCCATCAGGGTTGACAAAGTCCACGCGACCGCTGGGCAGGATACGCGCCCAGGAAAAGGAAAAACGGTAGAAGTCCACCCCTAAATACGCAAGTTCCTCCACGTCCTCCAGGTAGCGATTATAGGAATCACAAGCGATATCACCGTTGGTGCCATCTGCGATCATTTCCGGCCGAGAGTGGGAGAGACGGTCCCAGACATTTTCGGATTTGCCTAGAAATACGCATAGGTGTTATAGATAAAATCACACATACACTGCACGGGTATCGAATTATGTAGCTAAACAATTTTTGTTATGGAAACAACAAACGTATTACAACACTTAGACTTGAGAAGATATCGCAATCTGTGAAACCTGTGGGTGAGCCATTCGGCATCGGAGGTAGTCAAATATCACATAGTATTGAATGCTTTCTGTAATTTAACTAATCTAATTTATATTAGCCTTATTCTCAGTTGTTATAATAATGATATATTTGACTACATTAGTATAATGGACCAACAGCTTCACGAAATATAACAATAAATGAGATCCATAAAAAATATTATCAGTAAATTATGTAATGTACAATAGATATACGTGGTTTAAATTATAAACTGACACCTATGCGCATAAGTATATCTAAATCTAATAAATAGGTACTCATATCGTTGCTTATCAAAGGTTTTTCTTACTTTGATGGAAGGGCTTTTCATCTTATCATTCCATAGAAACATCAGCTTTTGACATTTTGTATCAGTACATAATCCAAAACAACAACGATAAAATCAATATTTTCGTTATCTTATATGTTTCTAAGGACGTTTAGAAAATACTATGATTCCTATTAACTAAGATGCTTCCCAAAAATCTACAAATTACGTATATTAATTATTTAATAATGGCGATAGAAAACAAAATCTGGTCAAATGCTGGTTTATAATTGAGGTTTTATTTATTTTCAACAATCGAGTGAGACGTGCGCATCTCGTAAGGTCTTATACTTTACGAGACACACGCGTCACAGCCAAAAAGAGGACGCTAATACATTATGCAGCTATTTACAGTGCTTAAGTACGTTATAACGTTGGGAACATCGCGATTCCCGTGCCTGGGTAGAATAGGGAGAGCAGGACATAACCAACACTTGGGCTGATGCTGATACAGCCAGTATCGACAATTTAATGTGTCATTTAAACACGGAGAATCGAGATAATATATATAGAGGATATCAATAGGCTGATGATGATGCAGCTTCCTGCCTATCTTCGTAGTATTACTGACATAATGTGCTCTATACTCACCACTAACATTCCAGGCGCCTTCGATCTGGTGTGCGGCTGTTGCCACTCCGAATGTGAATCCATCGGGGAATTTGGTGTAACCAGCTAGAGACCTGAAATAACATTTTTTTATAAAATGAGAAAACCTGCATGGACATTACGTTAGGTTATCGAATTTGTCTGATTTCTCCAATTGAATTTAAAACCTTCATCCATTGGAATTTATTTCGGAAATAAGACTTTTATATTAACTTGATGTGTTGCTGCATACCTACTTTATTTAATTGACATCTTCTAGTATTTTATTAACGAGGAAAAAATTGTTTAAGATGGCTGTACGTTTTTGCTTCGAGTAACACAACACAAAGTAAATTGTATTTTGTACAATTAGGTTCAATTCTACTACATATTTAATCAATAAAAGGTCAATAAACTCGACTTTTGATAACATATCCAGTTTTATATATATATAGGGACATAAATATACAAAACATTAGATAGTGTGACTTTGATAGTACGAATAATTATTTACTGAATTACCATGAAAAACTTTTAACTTGCTCTACGAACAAGTTCAAAACTTTATGCGACATTGTCGATTCTGTCAAGCAATAGTCCAAAGACTTATGCAAAGCTGATTACCCCAGTAATTTCAAGAATATTTTAATGTTACTTATATAAAACTAGCTTTCCGCCAAAGGGTACGCCCGCGTGGTCTTGTAATATATATATAAAAACTTCCTTGTGGATCATCCTATCCATGAAAAAAAAGCGCATCAAAATCCGTTGCGTAGTTTTAAAGATTTAAGTATACGTATATAGGGACAAGAAAGCGACTTTTTTATACTATGTAGTGATAATACTGGAGCAGTCTAACCGGATTTATATTTAATTCGGTAAACATAATACGCATAATACAAAAAATAAAACGCTGATAGCCTCTAGCCATTCTGGCCGACTGGCCTATCGACTGATAGGATAACAGCCAGATAGGGAAATTTTAGGAGACCCATGGAACAGAATAGTTTAAAAATACATTAGAAAAAATTTGAAGTGAAAAAAATATTTGATTCTTGCTAATTTTTAAGAATCCGGTCATATGACAATCAACCTAATGTAAAAAAGACACATACCTACCTTATATTGTATATTATATGAATCTTACAAAAACAAGGAAATTTTTATTAATAGGACCATGACATGATAAACATAAAAAAAAACACAACAGTTCGTTTTTCATTGTTATGAAACATGAAGTTTGGCTTTAACCTAGATCGATTCATCAGAAAACCGATTTAGATTTTACGAACAAGAATTGTATACTAAAAATTTCGGTCATTGTGGATGTTTAAGAATGAATCGATAGTACTTACGTATGGGAGATTGCGAGCAGTGTTAAACCGATAAGAACAGAGTGCGACATACTGACGACCGTATTGTTGAGCTGTGTTGGCGCACTGCTGGCGGTTAGCGACAACATAGCCTTTTAGGCCTCGTAATACTTATAACGGTAATCTCAAGAGCCTTGTTGATTCTTTTCTTCTTAATTCAGATAAAACGGTGGGTGTCTTACATCGATGATATTATCATCACAATGTTTGTGTGTCATGAATTACTTTCAATCATATTTTGGATTACGTCTATTGATATGTTAGAGTAGGCGTAGTCTTCATCCTAAGTAAGGTTTTATTGATGGTTTGAAATATCAAGATGATCGAAAGATATATGAAAAATAATATTTTAGATACGCTTATGTTTAACTAACAAGCTATGAATTTTAAAACTCATCTAAGAGCGGAATACAAAGCATTAATAATGGGTTTGTAAATCTACGAGATTCTCAAATTCTAGTAAAACCAAAATACAAACGCTAAACACAGAATAATCAATATAGTGGGAGTTGTGTTAGAGCAAATGTCGGGGCTAAACAATTTTCTGTTCAAGTTTTCCGTCTTTGACCTTGCGACGGTCATAAAGTTACGTCAGTGATTTATCGAACAATAGTTAATTGCATTTATAACGATGAGCGCGCAAGATGAGTTAGTAATGAAGAACTAAAAGAGTATAGTATATGAGGTACTCGTTAGTTAGTGCGTCTTTCACATAGGATGGGAGGCTAAGAATTGACTGATCGATAAGCATAATACGCCTTTTTTTCGGGATTGTCGTGACAAATTATTCTGACGGATAGTTTGACGGTTACAAACCAGACCAGCCGACTGGACAGTCAACTGGTTCGGTGAATTAAAATCCACGAACTGTATGGCCGTGTAGTTCACGTCGTATAAGTATTAAAGCCAGTTTCCATCGGTTAAAAAAGTTATAATACAGGCAGATCCAAAAAGTTTATTTTTTACGGGAGATCAAGTAGATGCAAGAAGAAAGTATCAAAGTATCAATCACATCTGATATAGTTAGAAATGAGCTGGAGAGTAGTGCATTAATTTTGAACTTTGAAGTGTTATGTAATAGAGGTCCTTGATGCACAATCCTAGGAACAAAGTATTATCAAAGTGCATAATCTATATAGGTAGATATCAAAGACAATATAATAATTATAGATGGATTTAATCTTAATTAACAAATCAAAATGTCAACCACGCATATCAACAATGTCAACAAACATACCTACTTAAAAGCAAAATGCATAAATCTTTCATATTTATGTAATAAGTATGAAAATATTACAATAGCTAAAGAATCTTGTGATTCAAAAAACAGCAATAGATCATGAAGGACTGAGTAAGGTGACATAAGTCGTAGTCGAAACAAGGCCCAGTATGAAACCATACCGCCGGACTAATAAAATATTTATGATAGAAGTAAGAATCATAAGAAATAGTTTACAGTATTAATGTGGAGACGTAGACAGAAGAAAATGTATTGTTAATATAATTGAAAATATTAGTAAACGTGTGAAGGATAATATGACTAAAAAACGGGTGAATATATTGTGTCCCAGAGCTAAAGATTAATACTCAAACATGGTTAAGTTGGCAACCGCCCTGTTTTTCCAGGATATATCTTGGGTTTTGTAGTGTCCTGGGGTGACCTGGATTTTAAGTAGCATCTTGGGTTTTTAAAGGCTCCCTGTTACGGTCAAGAACTTTATAATCCATTCATGCAATTCTACTAATATACTTATTAAGCTCGAGCTTTTGTAATTTTACTGCTATATCCTGTTCTTAATTAGAATCCTCTTGGTTTTTCCAGCTTTAAATCTTACTTTTGATTGGAATTGTGGTCAAATTAACCAACAATACCAATGGTGAATAATATCCATGTCATTTAGGTACTTTATACACATTGCTTATCAAAACTATTTGGATGAAACATTTGTAAATAACAAAATTATTATTAATCTATCCATTTCCGGAATTCCGAATGCATTTTGCGTAAAATCCAGTGTTCCACTGCTCAAGCGACTAGACTCCTAGACCTTTTCTTTCGATCATGTTCGATATGTGATATCACGCACAAGGATATCTTAAGGTTAATCATGTCATAGACTCACCTAAGTTTACTGTCCTCAGCAGTTACGCTCGGCGACAAGGTTAGGCCGGCTACGTATGTATGCGCAAGAGTTCGCCCACGATGTGCATTCATTGTGGCGGTATGGGGCACCATTCCCTACCTTCCTGAAGCTTATTGGCACACTTCTGCTATGCCTGCTCGTTGTCATGCCTCTGCTCTACCCTGCCTTTGTCATCATCATCACATACTTTACATTTGAGGGACTTTATTTAAGGTGAATTGAACAAAGTCATGCCTGTTGTTTCTATTAGATATTTGATAGTTAACATTCTAAAATGCTCTATTTTGTTAACTTCTTGATTCTTTTCTTTATTTAATATGATTGTTATTACATGAATTTTTAGATTCTGAAGACCTAAATAATGGTTTGAAAGATCTTCAGGTGATCCTGGTGGTTAAACATTCTAAATTTATAAATAATGTATGTGTAAAATATACTCCGGCTCGACCGGAGTGATACCACGGCCTCACAGAAAACCGATGTGAAGCAACGCTTGCGTTGTGTTTCGTCGCGTGAGTGAGGGTACCGGAGGCCCAACTCCTCAATATTCCCTTCCCTCTACCCCTCAACCCTTCCCTCCCTATGATCATATTCGTCCCTCAAAGGCCGGCAGCGCGCTTGTAGCCCCTCTGGTGTTACAGGTGTCCATGGGCGACGGTAATCACTAACCATCAGGTGATCTGTCTGATCGTCTGCCCCCTATCCCATAAAAAAAAAATTAAGAGTAATTTTTGATTGGAGAAAATTGTTGTGATTTACATTCGACTGTGATAAAATTTTTAGAACTATAATGTAATTCGATAATTTTTATATAACTGCTTATTTGGACTTTATTTCTTTTATAAAGTCAATAACACGTAAGGTTTAATAAATCTGTCAATTTTTTCAACGTGATTTTTAAAACTTTATCCTTTAAGTGTAGAGTTTAAAAACAACAGGAGAAATAGTGATTTTAGTGTCCACGTACGCTTAAGCTGTAACTCAGGATTTTATTTTTAGCTGGCGATTGAATCAGCCATGGCGTTTCCTACCAACCAGCATCATACGACGTGCGACTTCGTTTTCCTTTCGACGATGTAACCCCATTGATGTATGGAAGGTGCGCGAGGTTCTCACACGAGGGATCCTCTTAGCACATTCGCTGGCCACGTCTGTGGACTATCTATGTGTAATGCAGGGGCTACTAGACGAATCTTAGTGATAAGTATTCAGCATTTACTTAAGCGTTGAATTCACTAGACGGGCATGCCCGCAGGCAACTCTGCAGACATGCCTGTTAGACCTCGTTAATATAGGTCTGTGTAATGACTGCGACGATCCTACACTAGCCAGACATGCCCGCCCTATTGTAAGTAGGTCTTGCAGGCATGTCTGCGGATTTATCCGGTGGCATGCCCGTTTAGGGAATTCTCCGCTGAAGCTCAGAGTATTCTGAGAAAGTCCTGAAAGACTTACGGACTTTGACATTTTTACCATTAACGTAAGCTTTATACTTATAAACAGATAATATTGTGTTTTTTTCAAACTATGTTGTATAAAACTAGAGGAATAAACGATACATGTGATCGTGAAATTGCAATTAATACAATGTAGCGATGAAAAGACTGTAGAATTATGTATTTATAAGTATGTACGAATTTTCTGTTATTCTTACAGAAGTAGTATAGAAGTAGGCTAATGAAAGATTTTTTCTGAAGCAAACGTATGATTCTACGTGAAGATTATAATAGTATGTGTGATTTATTTTTGAAATATCTACCTTTATAACACATAAAAATAAAAATGAGTAACACATTGCTAAGAAAGTTTTATTTTAGACAAAACCTGCGCTTATTTTTTAAAACTGAAATTAAAAAAGAAAAAAAACATGCAATGCTTTTATGATACTTAAACTTATTGTTTATTTATTACCCATTAAAAACAAATATACTGGTGGACAATAAAATTAGGGTCATCTACCGAACCTGGTGTTGTTGTTTTTAACATTCGTTATGAAATATGTGTTACATAATTTTTCAAATTCTATAAACAAATTTTAACGCATTCACAATGCCATATTGAAAAATAATTCTGAGATGGGATTCGAACTCATGAGCTTTCGCAATCCGGGCGACTGCTCTAACCACTAGGCTCTCCAGGATCTAACAGGACTGACAAATCTTTCAAGGACTTGTTACTTTTTCGCTACTACAGAGCGTATTTTCATCAATGTTCAGGCAATAGGGATGATGACTAATTTTTGTTTGTTTGTCCGTCAGGTAGAGTGTTAAAAAATATTAAATACGTATTTTTTTATTTTTTCGTAATCATAAAATTACGGCGTTACATTGAGTTGAAATTTCGTATGACGTCACGTTAGAGTACGTTTTCTACTCAACTGTGACGTAGCAAGCCCCCACTCCTCAACCGTAATGGCTGTTATCTATACTATTTCTTGTTAAATTGAAGTAAAAAAAAAATCGTATCTAATATTTTTCTATTATCTAACTGACGGACTAAATAGAATTGCATTTTTTTTACCCAGTCATCATCCCTATTCACCCAAACAGCCGAAAGATTTTTTTTTAATATTTAAACTTTAGTAATATATAAGAAAATTTTAAATGATGAAAAGAATCTATAGTTGTAAGTGCCTAATTTTTTTGTTCCTCATAACAATCGATATCAGTATATAATTACTTAGGCGGAATAGTAGGTAGGTACGATAATTTTGGACATATCTGTTGATTTCTCTTAGTATAACATGATTCAGACGTGGTTCCGGCGACTTGTTTTGATCTATTTAGTAGTCCACGGATCATTTTATGTACTCATAGATGAACATATCAAAGTAGAGATAAATACTCGAAATTGTTTTACAATATCTTTAATAGACATTGAGGTGTTGCTTTGGGGTAGTCACGAAAGCGGGCAAATTTCGATGTTTGTTTTATCTAATTAAGAGATTTTTTTTATCTAAGTTATTAAAGTTCGTTTATTTGTCAACTTTATCAACAGTTAGTAAAACAATGCCTCATTTGGTAATAATTCGTCATTTTCGGAATTTCCCTATTTTCGTCATAGCCACCTTCAACAGTTTTAGTATTTTTGCGAATTTTCAAATCTTCAAGAAAACTTTTTCCTTGTTAATATTTCATTTGTACTTTTGACATTAATAGACGAAGTGTTTCTAGATTTCTTTTTTTTATAAAGTCGACAGATTTTCATAAATCTCCGGGGCATCATAAGAGCAAAAATAATGAAATATTACACATCACGTAGGTACAGTCAATGAACGTCTATACAAAACTGTCACATTTCACCCACTCGATTATAAACCTTAACACATTGATGGTAGAGGTTAAAATACATTTCAGAAATTTGTCATATTGTGGTAACCTGAGGGGCTACTCTGTCTACGAACGAAAATTACACAAATTTCGAATTTTTATTTAAATCATATGCGTCTATATTATCTGTGCATCAGAAGCAGTGTCAGGATCCTACCTCCGTTTTATTATTAATTATCGAAAAATGTGTATCTTTGAGTCGTATTAGGGTTTCGAAAATAGACGAATTTTGGTTTTCGGAGGAACAGAGTAGGCCTTCTGACGTGCAGCCGTGTGTATGAAAATCCCAAGTCCCAAGAACTTCAAAGGTGGCAACTCGGAACTGGTGTGAGAGCCGCTCAGCTACAGAAGTAAAAAAGTAGATAATCAGTTCTGTTTTTATTTAATGAAATAACGGCGATAATGATAAAAGGATCAATGTCTAAAACAGTGTTTGAATAATCTTTTGAACTGTAAATATTGTCGGGCCTTTATTTACACGATTATGACGTTGGTATAATATTGAATGTCACAGAGATATGATAAACACCAAGAGACTAATGAAAGTATTGTTGTTTTTCATATGAAAGCTACTGCGATTAAATTCAAATTTCTAAAAAATTGCGTTCTTGAAACCATATGCGAAGCAAATTCTACTTTACCTGACTTATCACCTTTTCAATGTATACAACGTGCAAAATAAAAACAACTATTTTTGATAACATAATGAATAAACAAGTTTTTATTTAGAAAGCCATTATGATTGTTGGAAAATACTTCAATGTTAGGCTTCGGTTACGAAATGATTCACAGAATAAGCAAAGAAATCCATTATAACCAAAGTTTAGAGATAACTTTGTTTTCTTTGCGTGAAGATAAAGCAATTATTTCACTTACGCACAGTTGCACAAATGTTCATTGAGGTTTAATGACGACTTTCAGATCTAATGAATGTTCATTTTCATTCATGAACATTTAATGCAAGTTTGTGCTACAGGCAGTTAGAGATGCATAGACGTACTTTACTCTTTTAGTCCAATGGATAGATGCAGTTGAATTAAAGCGTACTAACAGTTGTCTTATGGGTTGCCGTATGTGGAAGACGATAACTCGTCGTAGAATTGATAAAGGATGTTCCGTTTCCGTTCCGACTCAGTTCGACGTTTTCGCTTTTGTTATTGTTAATTTGCTTTAGGCGGCCTATAATCATCATCAGCCCTTTGACGTCCCCACTGCAGGGGTTCAGGCCTTCCTTATGGATGGTTAAGGAGAATGGGCCATGACCCTCCACGCTGGCCCAATGCGGATTAGAGGGTATTAACGACTTCAAAAGCATATGCAGCCGGGACCAACGGCTTAACGTGCCTTCCGAAGCATGGAGTAGCTCGAGATAATAATTTTTTGGTCACCCATCCCGTGACCGACCCTTGCGAAAGTTACGATACTTAACGACAACGATCGCGGGCCGCGGCGCTTATCCACTACGCCACCTTAGGCGGCCTATGGTTTTAAACAAATACTAACTTTTTCTCTCGTTTAATAATAAGACTAGCTGTTTTCCCGCGACTTGGCACACGTAATTTATAGTCTATGTCAACCGTGTATGAGAAATGAAATCTATACTAATATTATGAAGCTAAAGAGTTTTTTTGTTTGAACACGCTAATCTCAGGAACTACTCGTTCGAATTGAAAAAATATTTTTGTGTTGAATAGACCATTTATCGAGGAAGGCTTTAGGCTAGATATAACATCACGCTGCAACTATTAGGAGCTAATAAATAATGGAAAATGTGGAAAAAACGGGGAAAATTATTCACCCTTGAGGGCTTCCGTTGCGTGCGCTGCAAAAACGGTACAAGATACCAAAAATATATCTATGAAAAACTATGCTATGATAACAGCAATCATTGTTTACTATTCATTTTGTAATTATATCTGTGTCATGCTATGAAACGATACCCAAATAAACAGTTCCCTAGGGATTACGCCAAGCCGCTGGCGGAAAGCTAGTGGCTAATATACGTGAAAGGATTTTTAAACATGGTGCAGTAGCTTCGGAGCTTATTCGATGCTAACAAACATAGGTACAAACAAATAATTAAATCTTTCTTCTTTATAATATTAGTTTATAGTCTGGTGTTAGCGTCGTCGTAGTCTTGTTTATATTGCACCCTTTTAACCTTAAATAGAAATTGATATGACAGATCGAGAATGTTACAACACTTTCCTCGTTATCTGAATTAAAATTAGTTGTAATAACTGATCAATGGAATTGGACTGCTAGTAATTAATAATGGAAGCTCATTCGTTTATCGTTCTCATAGTAGTGCGAACAACAAGTCGTGTTGTAAAAATGTTTTTATATTTATTATATACTGTAATATTTTTGTGTTTGCTACATTTGATCTTCAATTATAATAAAAGAGCACGGACGTTGAAGATTATACCTGGTTTCAAGGATAGATTTATTGTGGGAAATGCTTTAGAATTAATGCTTTCTCCAGGTTAGTGTTTTAGTTTACTAATTTAGTAACATATAGTGTATACGAAGAACATTAACATCAACTCCCATTTAGGTGTTCAGTATAGATTATTATAGTGTCGTGCAAAAATTCCAAAAAAATACACAAACAATTAAAAAAAAAAATATACTTATCATATTTATGAAATGAGTTCAGTTTACTGCATTGTATACTTTAACAACAACATATTCCTATGCTCGATAATTTGGATGTTATCAGGGTTTTTGTAAGTGAGTTGAAACTTTTGCATGTCAGTTCGTTTAGGTAAATATTAATTATTATACTCGGGGTTGCGTTGATAAAATGTAGGTTATACACTATTCTAATAATAATTTTAAATATCTTAAAAATTATTGCAATGCATTTACAAGTTGTGGTGTTATTAATTAATATTCGTTGTTATGTTAGTTGATTTGTTTGAACTACCAAGAAGAACTGCAAGGAAATTCGATAAGTTATTTCGCTTCTGGTCATTTCCTATTGGAGCAGTATGCATTTACGATCCTGATGATATAGAGGTATATATATTTCCTTACTTATAATCGTACTAAACAAGATAAAAATTTACTATAGAATTTAAATGAAAACTAATGCGAAAATTTAAATTAAACGCATTATTAACTGATAATACTCGTAATTATGGTTGATTACGAATATTTGTTTGACGTATGTATTGTACCGTAATATTTTCTATCATAATGTAATATATCATCTTATCTGTTAGTTGTTTATGGTTGTAAAATGAAAACTACTAATATAAATATAATTAAATGGGCTTCGAAACTACTGGATCGATTTTAAAAAATGTTTCACCTACTGCGACTTCATACACGGGTGACATGGACTATATGCGAGCGAAGAGCTATTATAATAGAAATATACCTTTTATTAATTTATTTATATAACATATCACGTCATGTGATACTGGATTTATGGTGGCACGTAAGAAAAGATTAATTTCCGATTTTGATCAATAATGCAGCAAAATATTAGCGCTATGACGTAGTTTTTATAGTCTTCTCTGAAGATGGGATGGTCTATGAGAAAAAAGGAAGCAAGAAATAAGGATGATGAAATTATTAGGTTAGATTAGATAGATTACTAGATTAATTGAATAAAATAGGGCGATATATCGAGTTGAAATGTTGCATGACGTCAAGCCTTTGTATATTTTCTTCACAGTTGTGATGTAGCGAGCCTTTACTACTCAATTTTAATGCCTACTATCGATGCCATTTCTTGTTAAATTGAGCAAAAAAATCTATGTATTATTATTTTTCTAATATCCGACTGACTGATTAAATAGAATTTCTTTTTTTTACCCACTTTCACCTTTAATCAGCACCATAAATTTTGGTGTAGTGATTATTTCTTCGGTATAACCATAGCCTTATGATTCCAAATTTTGATATGACGGTAATACAATTAAATAAATATTTATTAAACAACAACACATACATTGCTCATATTCAAAGATGAAGAGCTGAAGCTCCTGTATTATGGAGTAATTGAGACAATGAAGGTAACACAACACTCAGACCCGAGACAATATAGAAAAGTTCATCTTTTACATTGATGGATAAAGAATCGAACCCGGGACCTCAGAAATGGCGACACCTTGAAACCGGCGTGTGAACCACTCGGCTACATAACAAATAACTAATTATTAGTTTATTTGTTAAAATATTCATTTGTAATGCCAAATTGAAGTTAAAGAAAAATATGTGAATGCAAAATTAACAAAATTAAATATTTATAACATATTTTATTTTTATCTTAAACGGATGTTCAAAATATTTTCTTTGACTTTTAAGCTAAATTGCCTCAAATGCAAAATACGCTTGCTAGTAGTGATTTCAACTAGTGTTTGACAAATTCGTCTCGCTCAATAGGTAGCATAGTTCAAATGGTTAGACCAATCGACGATTGCAGAAGGCTATGAGTTCCAATCCCATCGTGAACACCGGAGATTAGCTAATTTTTTGAGCATTGTTCTTAAAAATAAATAATAATTATTAATTATAAAATACAAAAACATTTTATGAAAAGAAAATATGTATATTTTTCTATTAAATTTCATAATCATGATTAACTATTTGTTTTTCAGAAAGTGCTACATAGCATGAAGCATAATGAAAAAGCTCTCATATATAATATTTTGAAACCATGGTTACAAGATGGCTTACTTTTGAGCAATGGTAAGTTGAAGCTATTATTATAAACAAAATGTGGTTTTATTTTATAATTTCATTTATAATTATATGTTAAACGAGTATTTGTTTTAGAAAAACATTTCAAATTTTTTGTAGTTACTAAGATTTTAAGTTCCTATTAGTACCCAGTAATAAATGTCAACAATTTTATGATAGATTGTGTATATCTATTTTCATTATTTATAGAATCACAAGTCTATATTACTAACTTCATTTGGATAAGTACTACTATATCCAAGTCATTTTTTCGCAAATTAATTACAGTAGGTAATATTTGATAACAAAAATATTTTTAGTAGATTTCGTAATAAACAACTTAAACCTTATAACCTTAAGCTGTATTGATAAATATTTAACGAATAAAATTAAAATCCATTTATAAAAGTTGAATGTTTTCAATATAACTGATGATTAAAAACTGTCATCATAATTATTTATTTATATCATTGATACAAACGAAACATTTCTAATTGGTATAAACACGATAACAGAATTAAGTATAAGCTAGTACACCAATTAATTAGCTAAAATTTTTAAATCAAAGGGCACTGATAACATATCGTCTACTTTGACCCGATAAAAGAAGGTACAAGATCCACATATTGATAATCTGACGTTACTTTAATGTATGATCAGATATTATCTGTCATCAATTAAACTTACATTTGTCTAAATTTATGTTATAAAATAATCTTATAAGTTAATGTTTTCCATTCCCCTAATTTATGGACATTTAGCAGTATGTGAGCGGAATTTTCATACTCAAAAAAAAAAGATAAATAAATATATTTAAAATTAACAATACACATAGTTTACCAACTTGACGCTTACCAACTTGAGTCTTAAATCTCGAGTTATCGAATATCTGATACTGAAAATCTGATGAATATTATAAAAAGAATAGCAAAAGTTATATAGTGCAATATTTCTGAGGACCAAGTACCGAATTGTACACGTATAGCCAAAATGAATCGGGACTTCGATCGTCCAAGATCCATAGTTCTTCAATTCACATCACCGAGAGTTCGTGATCTCTATTTGGCAGCGGCAATCAGATATAATAAAGCGAAGCCTATCATTGACAAGCTAAACACTTCAGATGTTGGATTCAGCGGAGATAAGAAACCAATTTTTATGTCAGAACATTGTCACCTTGGTTTAACCGTGAACTAATTGCGAGATTTAGGGAAAAACATAAGTATAGAGCTAAATACAAAGAATATAAAAACCCCATGGACGAAATTTCATTTCATTCGATGCGCAGATTCATTGGCAAGAATATCGGTCGACAAAAAGAGCTTTTAAATAAATTGAAGAACTTAGATGTAACTAAGGGGTCAGGTTGTGATGGCATACCTTCATTTTTTATAAAACAATGTGCGTCAAATTTATTAGCGCCCATCTGGCTTACCTATCTACAACAAGTCATTGAAAACAGGAATTTTTCCTAGTCGGTGGAAGTTGGCGAAAGTGGTACCTGTATATTATTCCGGGGATAAAAATAATGTTAAAAACTACAGGCCCATCTCAATATTACCTACACTAGCAAAACTATTAGAGAGCTTAGTGTGTCCCATTGTACAAAACTATTTTAACAAATACATTTCTGAACACCAATATGGATTTATTAGGGCAAGGTCCACAAATACTAATCTAGTCAGCTTTACTGAATCTGTGATTGAAGCTATGGACGGAAACAAGCAGGTAGATGTTGTTTACACTGATTTTAGTAAAGCATTTGTCAGAGTTCCAATTAACACGCTTCTTTGCAAACTTGATGGGTATGGTTGGGTATGGTTGGATGGGTATGAGTAAATTTTATACTAGTATTATTAATTCTGCAATTATGCAATCGATCTACATAACGCTTTGTTTTGTTATTGTTGTCTGTTTTTGTCTTATCAGTTGTTTTCATAATTAATTATTATTTTCATTGCAAAATGTCTATTTGTAGAATATTATGACATAATGTTATAATAAAAAAACAATTTATAGCAGTGTTTGTCAAAGTGTGCTTCGCGAAGCCCTAAGGGCCTGCAAAACATATGTTGGGGTCCACTAAAATATTGGTAAGTTTTCGGAATTTAAGTGAAATATGTTAGTACCTAATTTATTTTTAATAAACAACAGGCACATAATAAAACTAGATTGTTTTATTTTAGGGTTAAGTCAAAAATTTACGCTTCGTGTAAATATTAAGTTCCAATAAGGGTTACTTCGTTAAAAAAAATTTAGAATCTCTGATCTGTAAAATATCTTACTAATTATGTAAATTGGGTAAAACAGCTCTGAGCAATTCGATTGCACATTTAGTGATGAGTCAACTGAATGTACTAACTCGAGTTAACTCGAGTTGAATTCTCTCTAACTCGAATTTGAATACTAGCGCATCAATCCAATGACACTGACATGGCGCGAAGTTTGCTGATCATTTGTGTCTATACTTATTCATTAGCTATCCCAACAACACAAGATCGTTACAGATTAAAACTTATATACATATATTTGGAGTACGGTTGTTATTGTTGTTAGTTGATCAAATTATTAAGTACTGTATAGTAAAAATGCCGGGACCTAAAAATAAATATTTTGAGAAGACTGCTAAAATTAAACATAACAAATTTTGTTGATAATCAATATAAGTACTTACTTAATTTATGTCACAGATTTTATTTAAATACATGATAAATAAAGTCATTTTTTAACTCAATTCTTCCTACTTTAATTAATTATAAAGGTTTTTATATTTCTGTATGTCTGTCTGTCTGTATTTTACTATACAGTACCAAATATATGTATATAAGTTTTAATCTGTAACGATCTTGTGTTGTTGTTGTTGGGATAGCTAATGAATAAGTATAGAAACAAATGATCAGCAAACTTCGCGCCATGTCAGTGTCATTGGGCTAATGCGCTAGTATTCAAATTCGAGTTAGAGAGAATTCAACTCGAGTTAACTCGAGTTAGTACATTCAGTTGACTCATCACTAAATGTGCAATCGAATTGCTCAGAGCTGTTTTACCCAATTTACATAATTAGTAAGATATTTTACAGATCAGAGATTCTAAATTTTTTTTAACGAAGTAACCCTTATTGGAACTTAATATTTACACGAAGCGTAAATTTTTGACTTAACGCTAAAATAAAACAATCTAGTTTTATTATGTGCCTGTTGTTTATTAAAAATAAATTAGGTACTAACATATTTCACTTAAATTCCGAAAACTTACCAATATTTTAGTGAACCCCAACATATGTTTTGCAGGCCCTTAGGGCTTCGCGAAGCACACTTTGACAAACACTGCTATAAATTGTTTCTTTATTATAACATTATGTGATAATATTCTACAAATAGACATTTTGCAATGAAAATGATAATTAATTATGAAAACAACTGATAAGACAAAAACAGACAACAATAACAAAACAAAGCGTTATGTAGCGTTATGATCGATTGCATAATTACAGAATTAATAATACTAGTATAAAATTTACTCATACTCACAACAACAGCCTATCAATGGTGGGAGCATTTGCTGGTAATTTCATAATAATTTTGAACTTGCACATTCATTTATTGTTCATTTTCAAAGCTGAAATTTCCTTATATAAAACTTCTTGTGCATTAAAAAGTTTCATAAAATTAGGTAACATTACAATTAGATTTAGATTTTTCTAGGTAGCTCTGTGATGTCTCTTTTGACTTTTCAAAATGACAAAGTAATTCAGCGCCCTCCATTTGCAAGCAGCGATAATCTGAAATATTTCGCACACCTAGATCTAAACTAAGACAACTCAAAAAATTAATGTGGAGGTCTGACAATACATTTGTTTACGTGGCAGGAGCGCGACCACTGTTGATTCAAAAAAAGAAAGCTAAAGTTACGAGTATCTAGCGGCTCATCCCTGAACCTTTATTGAATCTGTTATGTTGGATAGATGCGTATGATTACCGAGTATTTGAATATTGTACTAAGTAAAACTCACTCAAATTTTTGAGTTGTCTCAGTTTAGATCTAGGTGTGCGATTTGTTCAGATAAAATATGTAGATTTTGGATTAATCGCTGATTACTATACATTGAGCGGATGGATATATATCAATAAAGTAACGGAGAAATTCATTTTAAGGTTCAAAATGGCAGCAGCGTCGTAAAATACTAACACCGTCATTCCATTTTAACATCCTGAAGCAGTTCTTGGTTACTTTAGAGGAAAACAGTTCTCGCTTGGTGAAGGAATTGGAGAACAAAATAGGACAAGAGATCGACGTTGTGCCTCTAACCTCGGAGTACACACTGAATTCGATTTGTGGTATTGTATAATTAACATATATTTACAAATATATCACAAATCAGTTTTTACTCTTTATAAGGTTTTACTGACATAAATATTTGACAACATATTGCAATCATTTGAAAGGTTATGTAATTTGAAAACTAGCTATTAGGTTATACTTTGATTAGTTAATTGAGGCTTAAATAACAGATAATTTATTACTCTCTTGAAAAAAGAGATATATCTCTCTCTTTATTTTCGAGAGAATCATTTGTTCGCAGATATAAGTTTATCGTTGGATGAGTTGATTATATGTCTACATATTTCTCATAGCAAAATATATAACACAAGGGAATAGCATTTTTTTTTCAGCAGTCAGATTTTTACTAACAGCTATACTTTTGAGATACAAGCAAAGTGTCATTAACAAGGAAAAAATAATGTAATCAAAGAAAACAATCATTATTTATAAAAAAAACTTTTTTTACGAAGACTAATTTAAAGGTCTAACAGTGGGCAGTCATCATGTGAGCATACCAGTGACTATTCTTCATAGCCGGAATACCTTGATGAAATGATACCTCTTGTTCCTCATATAGATGACTTAGATTTAAAAAAAAAAACTGTTCAAATGGCCGTGGCGGAAGCGTAATTTCATCTAAACAATCTGCTTCACAGAGCTTAAATGCTTTTTGTTCCCAGACAATTTATGCCGTCAAAACGAATTCATTCCAGGCATTTTGTCACTATTAGCTATATATTATCTCTGTTTTAAGTGACTTCATGGAGTATTTGGATTAAAATTAGCTTTCCCCATTTCATTCGAAAAAGATTTTTTTTTCTTTCAAGTCCTGATCATTTTGTATAGATAAAGATAATCGTGGTACAGACTCGTCACCAGAGCACAGGCCTGGCCGAGTAATATGTAACAAGTTCGGGTAAAATCACTAAGGTCAGTTTTGTTAATCCCAATTATGTCGATGTCGATTATGTCGCAAAAATGACAATGATTTTAATGATTACTAGGTTCCCGTCAGATCATTTTTGTTCGATATTATCTTGAAATAGGGTCTTTTCTTATTTTTTACGCATATAGTTTTTGTCATGGGTAACACTAAAGGAAAACCAAATTTAGCAATTAATGAAAATACAGTTGTTTTAATTAGTTCAGTTAATTTTTGGATATATATTCACAATAATTATTACAGAAATAGTTGATAATGGTTTCACAAGTATTTGTCTATAAGAATATTCTAACAAATAATTTCTTTATTTATTTAGAAATGTTACGAATTGTTTCCAAAACATAAGATTTCAAAATACAAATTATAGCTTAAATGTATCAAATATTTCATTTTAAAATTTTCAGAAATAATACAATAGCTTTTGTAATTGGTTGTTGTTTAATTTTTTTTTTGTGCCACTCTTTATCTTTTAAGTTTGTCTTATACTTAATTGATGTAGGGGAGCGGGGACTAGTTGTAACAATTAGCGTAAAAAGTTATAACGTATTTTGCATTCTAAACCTTAGGTATGTTATAACAAACTTAAGAGTTTTTAGTTTTACATCCATTTTCATTTTAGTTTTACAAGGCATAGCTTAACTATTAAACGCCTAATTTAATTCCAAATAAATATTTTTTCTTTTATCCGTTGACATATTTATGACATGTCATATATGCAAATGCCTAGCGCAAGGCGCCGCATATCAAATACTTTAAGCATTGCTTATTTTCGTTAGGTGGTGCCTTTAGAATGTGTGATATTCATTTTTACATTAGGTGATTCCTAAATATTTAGGCGACTGATTTGGGCGACTCTTAAGTTGAGTGAAATCTGGTATTATTTTTAATCTAATAGAAAAATATGAAAAATTAACAATAATATATTCATTCTTAAACTAATTGAACTTTAGTTTCACAGCATTTGTAATAACGAAATCTCAATTTTTTAATTAAACACCTTTTTAATTGTGATAAAATATAAAATCAGTCTTCCATAAAGTTACAGTTACAAGTTACAACTAGTCCCGTAAAAGTGTTACAACATACCCCACAGAGAGGCTTTTTAAAATAAGATCTATGAAAAAAATCGCTTACTCGATGTTAAATTTCAGATAATTTTAATCAAACTAAACAAACGTTAAATGTATTTTTAAAAATAAACAACAATGTGAAATATATGCTAATCAATTTCGTATAAACCAAAAAATGTCCGTCTTCCTGCGCTGTACGGCGGGATACTAATTGAGCTTATATGATACATTGCGTAAGTAATACGTTGGATTGAAAATCAAACTAATATTCTTGTTTTGTGTAGGTCAAAAATGCTTGTTACTATTTACCCCTGTTACAACTAGCCCCCGCTCCCCTAGATAAATTATTTATATTTACCAATCAAATAAATTTATTTGATGTCTTTATTATTGTAGAAACTTCCATGGGAACGAAGTTATCGGAAGAAACCTCGTCAGCTGGACTCTCTTACAAAAATGCAATATATGAACTAGGAAAGAAGTTTGTCGATCGTTTTACCAAAGTTCATTACAACATAGACTTCATTTTTTCGTTTTCTTCAATTGGCAAAGAACAAAATCGATATTTAGATATCGTACACAAGTTTACTAAAAGGGTCATAAATGATCGTAAAGAATACATAGAAAAATATGGAATTGATATTAATGAAGAGAATGTAAGTGATGAAGACATATTTTTCAAGAACAAAAAGAAAACTGCTATGTTAGATTTATTAATTTCGGCTCACAATAAAGGATTGATAAATGACCAAGGGCTTCAAGAAGAAGTTGATACATTTATGTTTGAGGTAATTAATGAGAATTCTCATATTAAAATGCTGACATATAAATATAGGTAATACAATAGAGCCCCTTTTTCTGTTTCTGTTGTAATTATTAAGGGTTTTCTGAATTTAACCAAAAAAAAATACTGATCCACATATTTATAATGTATTTTACAGTATGGAAATTATAGTTTGCTTTTAAGGACACTGATGGCAAGAATATTATTGAGCATCGAAAGAAAACTACATATATAGTTATCCATAGCTAGGTACCAATAACGTTTTGTTGTTCGGGACGCTTTAGGTCGCTGAGTCAACCTCATAGAATGTTCTTCAATTCTTTAACAATTAAAATTGAATACAATCAATAAAAATACTTTTATAGTAACGCTTAATAAAACATTACCTTTTTACGGAAATGAATTCACAAAAGAATTGATTTTGCATTTATATTTAACAAAAATAACAATCTTTTTGTTAAATACAAATACATAAGTTTGTGAAAATATGTAGTTTTAGAATGCAGTAGTGCAAAAGACAAAAACCCGGTGGTGTTTAGTAAAGATATAACAATATATATATAACAACACTGATAAATGTCTGTGGCTAAACAATAGCAAAATACTGATTGCTAGCTTTTGCCCAAGACAAAAGAGCAGAAAGAAACAGATATCTAAATCAAAAGTTTTCCTTATTATTGCTTACATAAAGTATTATCACTTACCCAGGATGAAATGTTATAGTTTGATCATTTATAAATATATTGTATATATAAAATAAGGATTCCAATATAAATATTGTTAATAAAACCTAGAAGAATAAAAACTAAAATCCAGAATTAACTAAGTAATAATAAATGATATAAGAAGAAAACGTGTAACGGAATTAGGTATTTACATTTTTTATTTCACCATAATACTTTCAGGGACATGATACTACTGCAGCGGGACTGGCATTCTGCTTGATGTCTCTGGCTAACGATATAGAAGTTCAAGTGAGTATATTTTTTCTTTATTAAATGCTGATAAATAAGGTTTAGCGGCATAGGCAGGACTTTTCTTATGTTACATTTTGTCTTTACTATTTTATCATAATTTTCAACACGTACACTCATATTTACTATTTATACCAAACTTGTAACTATTATATTTATATTTAATATCATAAATCATTACTTAACCTTATTTCGTTACTAGCATTAACTTAGGGGTGGGGCAAAAGTAAAAAAACACTTAAGAGTTTCAAATACTTTAAAATGATAACCAAACTTATTTTCATAATAACCAGCAAATATTCTTGCAAATACTAATATGGTTGCCCATCTCAGAGTACCAGGAACAAAGTGGATTTATTAGCATTTTTCATTAAGAATATTTTTCAGTATGGCTTTGTGAATGCAATATTGATCAAATATAGGTAATAACTAATATGGTTACAACTAGTTATTCTTATACTAATAATATGGTTACAACTAGTTATTCTTAATACTAGTTATACTAATATGGTTACAATATTGAGGCCTTGGTCTACCGTAGCGTCTTATAACTTTATTAAAATAATTTCTGTGCAGATGATTATCTGACAGGGGTTGTATCTGGCAGTATAGTTATCGCATCATTCATTTATAAAATGTTTTTATGGAATCTATAGCATTTCGATACGAAGTTTCTTTTTTAGGGAAACGTAGAGCGTTTAAATTGCTTCAAAATCCTCAAAGACTCGTGTAAATATATTTCAATTAGAGATAAATTAATTTCATTACACTAATCAACGATATAACATAACATAATTTAAACAATTTTGTTGTATAATTTATGTTATTTTATTCTGACAGAAAAGGATTGTTGATGAGTTAGATGCAATATTTGGCAATTCTACACGATCTGCTACAATGGACGATCTATCAAGAATGCATTATCTTGAATGCTGCATCAAGGAATCCCTTAGACTCTATCCGCCAGTACATTTTATTGGAAGAAGGTTAGGTGAAACGGTTACATTCAGTAAGTATTAATTGATATAATACCGATATATTATTTTTAACTTTCACTAATGAAACCATTTTGCAGGTAATTATTTGGTTGAAAAAGGAACTTACATATTGCTCCTCATTTACGATATGCATCGCCGGGAGGATTTATTCAAAGACGCACTGAAGTATAACCCTGATCGTTTCCTGCCAGAGAACAATGTTGGCAGACATCCTTTCTCATTCATACCATTTAGCGCTGGTCCAAGGAACTGTATAGGTAAACACATGTCGTGAAACTTAAAACTTTGGGTGGGTAACCTTTTTTTTTACCCAGAAAAAATGCGTTATGCTTTATTCCTGCAACCTGATGAACAGTAGGAGGTGTGTTGGACTCCCGCTTCACAGCAGCTATCCACTAAAAGCCTTGGGCATACTGTCGCTTGGGATGGCACCCGGGAACCCGGGAGTATTTGCCGAGAAAGTCACACCCTGGGTGGGTAATCCTAAGTTCCAAGTGCATCAAAATTTTACATAATTACTATTCTACCAAGTTCAACGATAAATTTCGAAATTACAAATTCAGATAATATGATCCCAATTGATATTAAATCAGTTGTTACTTCAAATAATGTTTATAATATATTTTTTTAATTCAAATGTTACTTCAAGCAATTGTAACTAAGAAATAAGAAAGAGAATTGACCTTGAATAAAATAAGGAACTTGAATTGGTTCGAACATGTGGAAGTAATGACAACCCTAATATACACCGCGAAAAATGATGTAGAAGTCGAGGAAGGCCAAGACCCCTTCACGATCGAATCAATCGCGTAACAATACCCGATTAATTTGAATGTAATGTAATGAATGTAATGTCAGAACGTATAAAATCCGGCGAGCATGTATGGACTATGGAAAGAGAGTAATAAAAGCGAAGAAGGCGAAAGAAATTATGTGAGAATCGTGGCGTGCGTGCAGATTTATGTACATAGTAATTTATTTATTTATAAAACAATAGGGATGATGTTTGGATAAAAAAATATATTTCCTTTCGGCCAACAATCAGATAAAATAAAAATATTAGATACGTATTTTTTTGCTTCAATTTAACAAGAAATTGCTTAGATGCTTAATTCCCCACTCCTCAACATTAAAGTTCAAGGAGTGGGGATTCGCTACTTCACAACGAAAATGTACAAAGGTGTGACATCGTCCGACATTAGAACTTAATATATCGTCATATTTTATTGAAAAAAAAAATACGTGTTAAATATTCTTCAGTACTACCTGACAAACAGACAATAAACATATTGACTGATACGAGAAAAAATATAAATCATTGTCCTAATTCCAGGTCAAAGGTTTGCAATGATGGAGATGAAGTCATGTCTGTCTGCGGTGCTGAGGCGGTATAAACTAGAGCCTGTAACGGGCCACGCAGACATCGAAATAACGGCAGACGTCGTTTTGAGGACATCTCATCCGATCCTAGTGAAATTTCTCAAAAGAGAAGATCAGAGCAATATTTAATCATCATCGGTATTAGTCTTTGATAATGCATGTAATGTTAAATGATTAGAAATCATTGTTAAAGAATTTAATAATAATTATAATATTATATATACAGATAGCGGCCTTTTCAATATGTTTCCTTATTCTAAATTATAGTTTATTTTTATATAAGTAAACACGATTGTTTAAAAGTAGTTTTCTTTCTCTTTATATTGAAAATGTATTGATAAAATGAAACAGTACAAACAATAAAATATAATACATTAGTTAATACTCGAGATTAGAGGATTATTAGCCCGATACCGAAGTTTTAGCAGCTCTACCACGTAATTGAAGTCCTGATTGACGTGCCACGCTGACAGATCAACTGTTAGCAGACTGTGACGGGTTCGATGCTTGGGCGAATGTATGAAAGGCTTATTAAGCTTGAGAACTTGATTTTATTATACGGTAATAAAAGAAAAGAAAAAAGAAAACCCGTTCCTGGGTTTTCTGTAATAGATAAAACTTTTCTGTAACAGATATTTCACGAAGATATACTTTTAGATTAACATTTTTCTTATTGAAATTGTAATAATTATTATTAAATTTTTATATTTAAATTTATATGTTTATATTATCATGTTCACACCAGATGATTTTTTAACGAACTGACATTCATAAAGAGTATATTGGATTAGTCAAATTTTAAATTATGAAAGGTGCCTAATAAAAAGAAATGACATTGAATATCAAAGACAAAAAGTTTGCATGCGGAAATCCAGGACGAAATAAACGGTGGTACGGCACACCGTTACAAGACTATAATCAGGGTTGTCTTGTCCAATCCAGACAGTTGATATGTTCTATCAGGGATTCGCTTTTACAGTAGAGCCGTAAGACTACCAACTAGTTTGGTGATATCACAGAAAATATTGAATTTATATTTATTTAATTCTAAGATATATTTGTTGTGCTTCTATATATAACATTATTTTGTGGGCAAATAAAGATTGTTATTATCTATATCTTATTATTTAATGATATATTTTGATATGAAAAGATAAGATTTTAAAAAACATGGAAAAGATTTAAAAAATATATGTGGGTCCACCTCAAGCCCAGGGGGCCAATTCTACTAAATAAATTTTGTTTAAATCAAATCGAAAACGGATCGAAACCGAACTTAACTACAGTTTTTAATGGTTTTTCTATTCTACTAAGTAACATACGATACAATTCCAGCTAAAATAGAACTGGAAAAGTATCGTATGTCACTCTGTAGAATAGGAAAACCATTAAAAACTGTAGTTTCGTTCGGTTTCGATCCGTTTACGATCCGTTTTTCGATCCGATTTAAACAAAATTTATTTAGTAGAATTGGCCCCCAGGTCTTGTAAAAAAATATTACGAATGTCAACAAGGCTTGTGTCCTACAAGTGAAAATATAGGTTTTTGTTATATTTTCGAAAAATATGAACCATTTTAACTTATAAAAGTTGAACAAAACAAATTTTGAGTCACTGATTTGGAAAATATTACGTTTTGAAAACTTGAAAAAAGTAGAGAAAATCTGCTACAAAAATATGCTAAAATACATAAGGCATTAAATTAGATATAAAAAATGTTACAACTTTCAATATAACAGCTATAAACATAAACGCACAAATAACAAAGATATTACAAAAATTGCCCATGTCAAAGTACCAGGGACAAAGGATTTTTTAAGCATTTTTATTAAGAATAAATACATAAGTACCTGTTTAATATAGAACCGCTTGTTTTATGATTTGGAAATTCTGTTAAAAGACTTCTTAATGTAATATGCTTAAAAAAACAACTTTGTTCCTGGCACTCTGAGTTGGGACTCGAACCATGACCTTTCGCAATCCGAGCGACTCATAGGTTTGAATCCCATCTCAGAGTGCCACAATATTTATAGTATCCACATACTCTTCCTCGGTTCCTGACAATTGGTTCAAATTTTTTTTTGAAAAGATTTATGCACGATATACTAAGTTTTATTTTTAAACTTTACACATAACAATATCCCAACTTTAATTGACAGGCGATTGGCAGTCTTCTCGCAGGCATGGCTAAAAATGAATTATTATCTAAAAAAATAAAATGTTATTAAAAATGACAAAAGACACTAAAAACCGCTATAGTGTATGATAATAGTACAGGTCATATAAGTTTTTAACTAATGTCAAGCAAGCGAAAGACGTATGTAAAGGCCGTGCCGACCTTGTCGCAATGAGTAATCGCTGCCTATTTTACTATTAAGAAGCAGTATTTTGTTATAAAGCAGCTTCAGACTCATCGTCAAGGACACAGCGCTGTCATAGCATAAATGTTCAATCAAATAAAACCTTTTCTTGGTGTCGTAAGGTGAATACTTTATACACTGTCCCTGCCGTCTAACAGGCGACAGGGGGATGTCTTCATCGACACGAACTCACCCGAAGGCTAGTTTAAACGCGGATATGCCCAATAAGCCTTACCTTAAAAATATTACCGGATACCTAAATATATAAATATCACAATTATTTATTACCGAGGAAATATTTTTTTCAATTCACTCTGTGTGATAAGTTTACAGGCTAACACTTTGAATGACCCCTAAGTCACTGTTGTCTGTTTCAAATGACTGTTGCTATTTTTGTTTTTAGGGTTCTCAAAAGAAAAAGCTAAACCCTTATAAGATAATTCATGTGTTGGTCTATTCGTCCTTTTGTAGGACTGTCTCTGTAATAGTTAACTTGCTTCGAAATTAATGGACCTATTGATTGGTCTCTCTCTAGTCGGTTCCTTATTACTATGGTCACTGGAACTCATCAAACGAACGATCTTTCTCCATCAATTCCGATCGGAAGTGGCCCTCACAAGCTCCTTTTACCTGGTCAGACCATCGTGTTGTTGACCAACTTTTTCTTCGGTATTTCCAACATAGACCAGTTTTTCAAGGCTATCTTCTTCTTTTTGAATTATACGTCCGAAATAAGAAAGTATGTGGACACAAGCTCGATTTTGGCCAAGTTGGGCGAGAATAGATACAATTTGTCTTTGGCTGTCCTGGGTATATATTGCCTCCAACGCCCATTGATTGGTACACAATTATAAGCATAAAAAGTTCTGCAAACTACACAAACGGTATTGAATTAATGTATATTTTTTTTACTAATTTTAAGATAAGTTTGGTCGAAATTGACAAGCCGTGTATCACTTTCTATCTTATCTTTCAATGTTTTTAAAACTTTTGGGACAAAATTTTTGAAAATAATGTTTTATTGCTGTTCGCCCGCTTAAATTATATGTCATGCCTTTGTCCTTTGTCATCCGCGTATTATTTATTTTCTGTAGTTAAAAGAATTATTAAAATTGGACCAGTCTTTTAGGAGCCTATTTCATGTAAACAATAAAAGTTTTGATTTCCCCTTTATAATATAACCTAAGATTAGATTACAGAAAAACCCATTAGGAAGTCTATAATATGTAGAAATATTTGTACGAAACCCTCAAAATAGGACTTGTACTCGCATTTGTTCTTTTTTTTTAATAGAAAACTCGAGAGTCAGTTCGTAAACTTGCCGTGCTCGTTTTATTCTTTTTGAACGCAAAAGATGTGGCTTAAAATGTTTATGTATTTAATATATACTGTTATATTTTTGTGCAGTATACATTTAATCTTCAATTACAATAGAAAAGCGCGATTACTAAGAGCTATACCCGGTTTCAAGATCAAATTTATTGTCGGAAATGCGTTAGAACTATTCCACTCTCGAGGTTGGTTTTTTATTTATTATCTTAATGTTTTTATTGTTTCTTTCAAACAAATTACTACAGTCGTAGGATGTAAAAAAAAACAACTTTTTTTCTAAGTCTATTTAATTTCAAGCAAAGAAATTATAATTTATTATAATAAATATGTAAACGACAAATTGCTCGATGTGTGAACAAAAAGTGACGTATTGTGACCTCGGTTACGTTGAGCGCCGTCAGCAACTCGTGGCTGGCGGCTGATGCAATATGTAGAAAAATATTGGTCCATGGAAATGCATATTCGATATGTTACAAACGTGACATTGTCAGAATTTTATAAACGCAAATAGGCCATGAATTGAAAAGAAGACTCCCAGAGCAAATCCGATTGGTCTGCTGCCACTTACACCGCAACGTGACAGATGAGTTAGGGCTATTGTTAGTTACACGCATAGATATTATTTTATAAGCCACTGTACAGCCACTGCTAAGCACATACTATTGTGCTTAGCACTGACAACCTAGTTGTTAGAAATTATCCGTGGTATATTATAATAAATTGTTTTTTATGATTCTCATTACCATTGCTAGTAAGCTGCATTCTCGAGACTTCGTCCGCGTTAGTTATATGTCACTCGTATATAACGTAACTTCGCGTAAGGTGCAGTAGTTTCAAAGTCAAAATCATATCTTCCCTCTTTTTAATACTAGTATAGAGTCTATACTGTATTCTAGTATTAAAAACAGGGAAGATTAAGTTACATCTATATGTATACTTTTTTTGATTCGCAAATACAGCTATACTCCATTCATTATAGCATTAGACAGAATGAAAATAAGGTTCTTTTTATGGTATACTTTGTGACAAAATGTCAACAATCATGTTACTCTTAAGACTAACGGCTAATTTGCTACATATCCACTTAAATACCAGCTGCTATACTTAACCGTAGTCTTTTAAGCTATATATTAAACAAATTTATGAGTATTTGACTGACTTAAAACATTTAATAATTATTACAATAAAAGTGTTCATCTTAAAGAACCTAAAGAAGCAGGGTTAGATAGTTTCGGCATGATTCTCATGTCACTATAACTCTACCAAATTTAAAACGTTGCCTAATCCCTTCAAACGTTTCAGCAGTACAGCTTTTTAATTTTGTCAGATTATGATTTATTCATAATAGTCAAAATATGTAATCTGGGATTGTCATTCATTGTGAATGCTACTGCCTTTCTTTTGTTTTGTCATTTTCGGTGATTGAGTAATTACTGTTT